GGGTTCTTTTTCGTTTTATAGCTTTCGTTCGCCTCGATTTGTCTCGGAAAATACTTTTCAGTTTTATCAGACGCTTTATTCGAGCGTTATATCGCCACGCGTTTAATTACTTAATAATTACCTCCAAAATTATTCGTTGTTCGAAAAACTTTCTCTCCAATTTTTGTACAAATGGATTTCGCATTCGGTATAATTGTCCCGATAAAATTTTAATTCCTGTTTGCCTCCCGTGCCAGCCCGCGTTCAGCCGTCCAATAATCGCGTATGGAGCAGAATTTACATTATCAACAATTTATATTGCGGACCTTGTACGAATATTTACAGTGAATTGTTGTTTTCTCCCTTTCACGGACGACACGTGTTTTATAAATGCAAACAACATTATTTTTCCACCCACGTTCGTTGTAAAAACCTTCGCATTGTTTTTGCAAAGTTATCCCGGTGCTTTTCCTCTTCGCTCGGAATGCAGATAGCCTGAAAGATTGCGAAAGCGTGACTTCTTAGCCACCGCTGAAGTTTTCGTACTTGCGCGACTTTGGAATTTTAGAATTTTTCGAAAAACTGCTCCTCGAAAGCGAATCTAAACATTTTATAAGATCCGTATCAGCCGGTAGAAGCATTATTCGCGAGGAAAGTTGAGCGCGACAGAGCAATTTCCTTTTTTTTCGCGTTTTCTTGCGTCTCTGTTTTAATAGTGCTCGTCCGAGCGCAATCAGGCTCCTTTGAAATCCAATTTTGTCCGCTGGAAGGACACACCTATCCCGACTAGTATTTAAGCGCAATTGTAAGAGAATGGAGACGAAATGGAGGTCTTCGCGCGGAAGTCAATGTCCTGATTTAAAGTTTGCTCGCGCTCGAACTCTTACACAGCCGGAGGAATTTCATCTCCAAAATTGCTGCACTCGCTCGTTCCTCGCCGACCGAATACTAATACCTTCAAATCCCTCGATCATCTTGCTCCGATGTTTTCCTACGATACGGTCTATATACTGCGAACATCTCCTCCGATTCCTGATCGTGAAATCACCGGATGAGAGATACAGCTTTTTGTTTCGACGTTTTCTTTTTTTTCTCTCAATGCGCAACGCTGCCACAAAATACCCGCTTTCTTTCAAATCTGCTGCAAATGGAATTGAAAGATCTGAAACTTTACGGTATATTTTTACTACCGTGTTATAATATTTTCCGTTTAGTAAGCGCTATTTGCGCCGTGCGCAGACTCTTTAAAATCTCTCGAATATTTGGCAAAGAGGATCTTCGTATTCTTTCCAGTTATTTCGTCTCTGTTTCTTAAAGTTGGCCAACAGAAAAAACGGATACGAGAGTGGTGGGACCAGGTCTCGTTCTTGGGTTCGAAATAACGACTCCCTCAAGGAAATCTTCTGCCTTTCGCGTTAAAATCCGACTTTGCGGATCATTATACGTTAATTTGTGTGCCCCAGATACCCGCGAAAAAGCAAGTCGCTTTTTACCGAACAATATTTTATCCTGATTTCGTTGCGATCACGAACGACTCTATTCGGATTTCGGGTTTCGATCGACAACTTTCCAATCCTCTACCATCCACGGAACGAACTTTAGGATAGATTGAGGTATTTCTGAGTTTCGTGGTTCCACAATAGAGATCCAGGGACGAAAAGGGAACAGGGACACGCGTCGATGGTCAGCCGGGATAGATAGTCGAGGGTAAACTTGAATCGATAACGCGGAATTTCGTCCCTGTCCACCATAATGCTAGCGATAAAGCAGCGTCGCGTGATTTATCGAACAACTGGGACAGCCAAGGGCAGGTCAGGTGCTCACCGGTGTGCAAGGCACACGCACCGAAGAGATCAAACGAGTAATTTTCAAATGTTCGAAAATTTCGATTTTTCAACTTTTGTCTTCCAATTTTTTAAATTTTGAAACACTATGTGGATCATGTTTTAACGCATGGTCGCTTAATCGGTCGCGTTTCGGTAATTAATTTCTTGAAGTTAATTGGAATCAGCTCTGGCAGTGGATATCTTTGATATTCGGTAAAGTTCACGCGTTCGCGGCGATCAATTAATAAACCGACGAAATAAGGTGCTCGTAAATTAGCGCGAGAATCGTGTCCTAGTTCCCGAGCGAAACGAACGTGTCCTTTTTCTCTATTTATTTAAGAATTCCCCATTCGTCGAGAGCGGGTCGATCGACGAGGAATACTCTTCTTTTTTTTTCTCGATGAAAAATCCAAATTTTCTAGATAAACCGGTGACACCGATGGCACGGTTCGCGTAATTTCTTAATTAAAAAAGTTCCACGAAAATATAAGCCGTGTTACTCTTTTTTATTTTGTTCTCATCAGGAAAAATGTTACGCTCCGCTCGTGTTGCCGAGAATACGAGCATGAGTTTCCGCGAGAAATTTGTTGAAAGTTCCACTGAAATACCGCGTAATAGCAAAGACTCGTAAAAAAAGAACTCGATAGAAAGAACAATTTACAGACGCGTTAAAAGCTAACTCGACGATCTACGAGCATGAAATTTTTCCACGGAAAAAGAAGCAATAGAGTACCTTTGAAATGTCAAGGTAGAAGGACGGTAGCTTATTTTTGTAAGAATAATGATATTTAGGTGGGGTGCCGTTTGAGCGCTCCATTATCCTGTGCTCGCGAGTTTTTAACCGCGGAGGCGCTAAAATTCTGTCTGTGCAACTTTTCGAGAAAATCACCGTGTGGCTGGCGCATTTTCCTCTAAGAGCTATAGCGACCCGTATCGATATAATGCTCGATCGCAAATCGGATTATTGCGTACTTGGAAATTTCGAAATTTCGTAACATTGAAATTTTATAATTTCGAAACGTTAACGTTAACGTGGCCGGAATACAATAGAAAGGAGGGTGACACAGATCGGCAGAAGGATCAACGAAACGTTTATTAAAGAGCGCATGAAATATTTAATTGGTAAGACGATATTTTTGCGTTTGCGGCGCATTCGAATGGGCACAGTTGTATTCGGAAGGAGAGCTCTCTGTAGTTGAAAAATGGAAACAGGACGTCAAACATTTGGAGCACGGTAACGAGCAAGTAATAATGTATTCGCGTATGCTCTCTCAGTCACATATACATAGATATATGTCGTATCGTGTATAGAACTACAGAAACAGGTCACCTGTTCCCTTCTTCTATGTCGATAGGATGAACTTTGCGTTTTCTAGCGAACGTTTTCGTCGGTCGAACGAACAATTACCTCGACGATTCTATCGGCCGTGTTTAATTCTTCTGTTTGTTTCCCAGTCAAGGGGCGAGCACGAAGAAAAAGTATCGCTGAATCGCGGTTCATCGATCTTTCCGATTAATGCAGCAAACCTTCTACCTTTACTTCAACGATTTTAACCATATTTATGGAAGAAACGAGCCAGTTTTTTGCTGGCTTTAACAAGCTATACCAATTTTTTTCGCATCGTCTAGCTTTTCATTTTACGCGTTTCATGCGGTACGCGTGGCATTACTTTTTACAAATAAATTTATAACAATAAAATGTCTAACTTTTCAAACTTTAAAGTTTATAAATTTGTAAATTACATGGATCAACAATGGAAAAATTGTTGCATCGAAATAAGAATAATAGCGGGAAAAATGAAGCGAAAGAATAAGGAGAATGAAAAGGGGGTAAAAAACGTAGGAAAGAAGATTCGAAAAAGATAGGAGGAAAGAAGAAGAAGGAGGCAGAAGTGCAACGACGCGAGCGTGTGCGTGTATCCATAGTAGTTGAAGTTATCCGAGTCCATGAAGTGGGAGAGAGCAGACTGCTTCCGGTAATGAAACTCGACGTGAAGAGGAAGTTCGAAAGAGAGAGGGGACGCAACGGGTACACGCACGTGCTTGAACGCGGGGACGTTGAACGGTCTAAGGGATGCTGGAGGGGATGCAGGAGGTTGAGGTCGCATTGATTTTGTCTAGACAGGGTGGAGACTACTAGCTGTGGTATCGTCCTTCGCTCACCGTTGATATTCCGGCATCCAGTACGCTCGGTGCACGCTGCACGCTCCAAGCTGCACGTTGCACGCAACCTGTCTTCTCGGAGAGTACCGCGATTTTTATCGCCTCCGAATACCATCCGGTTTTGCCAAAAGTGCGCTTTTCCGCGTTTTCTACTTGCTTCTCGGTGAAAAAATGAGAGATACGGCGAATCGATGGGTGCTTTTCGTGGAAGGGCCTTAATCGTGTCCTTCCCTGCTTTCGCATTTTTCTATTCGTGACAATCAGGAAGATGTAGTAGGCTACGAATTTCTTGGTATGTAACTTATTTTCTACACGACTTTTACTTTATAACGAATTGCTGATGTTTTTACGATTAACAGTTTGCTGTTCCCTCTTTATTCGTATCGCAATTTTGCGTTCTTCTCCTCTATCCTCCATTTATTTCAAAGTGCAATAGTAAGAAATTAAATGCAGCGTGACAATATGTATCAGAAAATTTAAACGCGAATAAAACCTTTCCTATGCAAAATAGAAAAGGTAATTAAATATACTGGTATCGCGACAGAAATTCGAAGCACATACGACTAAACTTTTTCTCATGTAATTATGAAGAATAGCGTAATTAAAATGTAATCCAAAGGATGAATTACACCTGCTACAAAAAAGTTCATTGTGCGACGAGGATGTTATAATACGCGATACATACCGACGCCTTTTTTTTTAATCGTATTATCGAAAGAACGGCATCAATTATTCGCTCGTTTCGTTATTATGGTTCTTTTGTTACGGTAAAAGTGTTAAGTGCATTAATATTCATTGAAATATCGCGAGCAGCGCAAGCTCATTAAAATGTAAGTTTACGAGGTTGCACCGGCGAAATTTCTTTTTATAGCGCACTTTATAATTATGGCGACATAGAAATAAGGTAGTCCTTCTTTTAAAGAAAACTCGAAATAATCCCCGATGGTGATACATTTATAAAAAGTAGCTGTTTAAGAGTAATTTAGGTAAATCAGCGAAGTTAATTGCAAATTGGTTTGATTTATGTTACAGGGACCCCCTCGACACCAATAATGCCAGGGGGCACACCTGGGACCCCGTCATCTAAAACGAAGGTAAAAGGATCTTTCGATTTTATCGGAATCGAGAAGTTGAAACGGTTAAAATTCCAAAAATTTCTGAGTTACTAAATTCGAAACTATGCGGCGCTTGTAAATCGGTAAATTCGATAATTTGAAATTGCAGGACTCGTACTTGAAATGATCCAGGGGCGCTTTGCCCTTGTAAATTTCAAAATTCCATGCTTCAAAGAGCTAATCAAGGGTAGTCGAGATTACACGCGACTGTACCGTTCCAGCTTCATGATTCCGCTTGATGAAATATTCATACAAACCTCGGTGTATTTTAATCTATATTTTCAGGATAAAATAATGATGAGGACGAAGGTCGTGGTAGCTCTGTATCCTTTTCGAGCGATCGAAGGAGGCGATCTGTCCCTCGAAAAGGTAAGCTCGTAATTACGTTTTTCCGGCATAAACCAAAAAACATCCAACATTTTCTTCCTACTTATATTTTATAACTCGTACATCATCGTATCCTTATATCCCCGGTGGATCATAATTGACGAAGCTCGTAAGCGTAGAAAATATTTTACGCGCGATTGAATCTCGAGGGAAAGAATCGTTTTGCTCGATATACTTTCGTGATGTAGTTTTAATCGCACGATAGGGAAACCTGAGATCGCAATAATTCCCAACTGAAACGGAAATCCGCATCGCGTAAAAGCAAACGATAGTGGATATTCGATCGCGAATGGATTTTCGATATCTTTCCAGAGGTTTGCAGAGAGACAGACCCGACGATTACACGTGTCGTTGAACGAATTTAATCGAGCTATGCAATCATAAAGCGAAGGAAATGGGATGGTAGCTTATTCTGTTGTCGCGTGAAAAACCGTCTTATCGTGCTGTGCCGACAATCAATGAAACTTGACTGGATCGTATCAAATTGAATCGGATTTTCCCGTAACGGAACCACTTCGGAGGTATTAAATCTTATCGAACGGGAATGAAGCGTAATTAAATCTGACCCTACCGTAATAAACGAAATAGGATTCGGACAGGTTTAATTTCGTGTCGAATCAACCTTTTCGTCGCACTGGGTCAAACAAACGCGTTCTAAATTTATAACAATCTTTCTTCTAGAGTTTCTTTATTTTATTATCCCATTGTTACTGTTACTGTTAAACTACACCGTAATATACTGTGCTGTGCTACACCGTTATTATATCAAAGCGAGGATACTTTGGTTGCAAAAAGTTTGATCAAAGATCACTTTGATGGTTAACGTCGTGTGCGATCACCTTAATCCTAGACACATGGCTAAAAGCTTGGAGGTAAACGCAAGAGCAAGTATAACGTATATTAGATTCCGTTGGTATACCTAAACTTATAATCGCATCGAAACGATCAATCTTTCGCACGACCGATTCCTCTGATCGGGTTACGGTTTCCGATAATGTTCTCGCGTGGATCGCATTATCCATGAATTTCATTCGCGAGCTAAAATTCTGCAAACGCCACTTCTGACGATGGATATTCCTAAATTCCTCGAATTTTAGAAATCGTCAGATCGGTAAATCCATTGTGTATTCCTACGTACGCAGTTAGCGATATAAAAGAACTTTCTGACAAAATGTTCGCAGTTGTTCGTCGAGCGTTTAACTGTTCGACGATACTATTCCGAGTCTATCGAATGCAATTTTGTAACGGTAATGGAATTAACTTCTTTTTTTACTGCGAGTCTTTGTTTCCGGTTTCGAATCTCGAAATTAGTAGAATTTGAACGAAAAAGCGGTATTTCTCTTTTGCCTTTTTCAAATGCTCTTTTATCGTAGAAACTGTACGTCGAATGAAAATCGATATTGTTGAATTGAACAGGGTTAATCGAGTATCTTCAAATTTTGTAATAGTTTTCGAAAGTGGTTTTTTCGAATGCAATATATTGTAAAAAAACTGTTATTCGGAACCGGGACTTTTTATTTGCTACTGGTGAAGTTTGACAGATGACAAAATAAGATAATTTTTGTTTATGGCAGGGTGCGGAGTACGAAGTGCTGGATGATTCTCAGGAACATTGGTGGAAAGTCAAAGACGAACACGGGTACGTGGAGTCCAAGCATCTAATTTCTAATAGCAATGTTAGAAATCACTCGTTACCGTTCACCTCGAAACTGAAAGTGTATACACAATTTGAATACGAATATTAAACATCGAAATTGTAGCTAAAATATTTGACGTTTCGATAACGGAAATGGAAATTTATCAATTTCCCTGTTTACCGTTCTCGCGAAAAGTTAATCGCGTTAATCGTGAATTCAAACAACTGTTCGCATCATTTGAACAGTTCTGTTATTGCGAAAGCGTACAAAACATCGTTTGTTTCGTTTTACAGATCTATCGGTTACATTCCCAGCAACTACGTCAAAGAGAAAGAACTATTGGGCCTTCAGAAATACGAGTAAGTGTTCGCTTACACCGGCGCGTACAGAAAAAACGTAAAAAAATCGACAGCGCTAATTTAGAAATACGAGATTCTACAAATGTAAAAGTTTTGAAATTCGTAAATCCGGAAATACGAACGATACGTCGAAAATCTACCGTGCAGTACGTCGTTGATTAAGAGAAATAGCGACAGCGATGTTAATTATGAAAAATTTGAATTACAGGTGGTACGTTGGTGACATGTCCAGACAACGCGCGGAATCATTGCTCAAACAGGAAGACAAAGAAGGATGTTTCGTTGTTCGTAATTCCTCTACCAAAGGGCTTTACACTCTTTCGCTCTACACTAAAGTGTAAGTATCGCTATTGTTGAGAATACGTTTTGTGTGTTGATGTTTAGGGGAACGGTTGAAAGAAGACGGTCTGTGTTGTTGCAGCCCGCATCCACACGTGAAACACTACCATATCAAGCAGAATACGAGAGGAGAATTTTATTTGTCCGAGAAACATTGTTGCGGTTCGATACCGGACTTGGTAAATTATCACAGGCACAATAGCGGTGGTTTGGCCAGTCGATTGAAAACTAGCCCTTGCGATCGTCCTGTACCGCCAACTGCTGGTCTCAGTCATGGTTTGTTAGATTTTTTTATTCGATCAAATTTCTTCCTACGTATATTGGAGAATTTGACAAAAATAGTTATGTAGTATAGCGACGAGTAGATCAGAAAGCCCTCTAGAAAATCACGACCATTTCAGTCGACATATGTTCCAACTACTTTTTATTTAATTAGAATTAGGACGTTCTTAAAATTCCTTAATGTTGAAATTATTTTGTTTACCACCCTGTAGAAAGTAATCATTGTATTTGGAGTAAATTGTGCGCTTCCAACGGTACATTTGATCCACAGATAAATGGGAAATAGATCCAGCAGAGTTGCATCTATTGGAAGAACTTGGTTCAGGGCAATTTGGAGTTGTACGAAGAGGAAAATGGCGTGGTTCTATAGATGTTGCTGTGAAAATGATGAAGGAAGGTACTATGTCTGAGGATGACTTTATAGAAGAAGCTAAAGTAATGACGTAAGTCGACAGAACCTATAATTCAGAAATGCATTAAAACAGAATTATGAATGTCAATACGAATATTGAATTATTCCATCTAGGAAACTTCAACATCAGAACTTGGTGCAATTGTACGGTGTTTGCAGTAAAGATAGGCCAATATACATCGTCACCGAATACATGCGACATGGATCTCTACTTAACTACCTCCGTCGTCATGAAGCAACATTAGGAGCTAATGTGGGCCTACTTTTAGATATGTGCATACAGGTACACCATTCACACTGTGACAGCGATCGTATCGCAAATATGCCTTGTTACGAAAAATATTTATTTTGATCGAAAATTGCATCGGAGACTACGTAATGATTGACTGATTGAGATAATCGTGTAATTTGGACCGTAGGTTTGCAAAGGAATGGCTTATTTGGAAAGGCATAATTATATCCACCGAGATCTTGCTGCGCGCAATTGTTTGGTCGGCTCAGAAAACGTAGTAAAAGTTGCTGACTTTGGATTGGCAAGGTAAACGATGTCCCTTTACGGTGTCAACTTTGTCAACTACTACCACGAATATAACGCTTGAAACTTCGTTTTAGGTATGTCCTCGACGATCAGTATACCAGCAGCGGAGGAACCAAATTCCCCATCAAATGGGCACCACCGGAAGTATTGAACTATACGCGCTTCAGCTCCAAATCAGATGTCTGGGCATACGGAGTACTTATGTGGGAAGTATTCACGTGCGGAAAAATGCCTTATGGCCGCCTAAAGAACACCGAAGTTGTAGAAAGAGTGCAACGAGGAATCATACTAGAAAGACCTAAGGCCTGCTTCAAAGAAGTTTACGAGGTTTGCTTACGTCTATCATCCTCCTTGCTGCTAACGTACGAGAATGCTAGTGGGAAAATGGGAATTTTATTATTAGGATATTCTCGTTTCTGTAGTATAGATGCGGTGTAGAAGGTACCCAGCAATTTATCGTTGCAGGTAATGCGAAAATGCTGGGCCCATTGTCCGGAAGTACGACCCTCCTTCCGTGTACTGAAGGAGCAGCTGATCAGCGTGTCTCAAGGTCTGCTCAATGATTGACTCAACCTTCTACGGTGTATGCGCCTATCGTCGCCTTCGAGCCGGTCAATACAGGCGGCAAAATCTCCATCTCTCGAGCGATCACCCTCGATTCTGCCATCCTCGAACAATTCCACGTCATCGTACAACTCGGCAACTCTACCGTCGTCTCGTAAGACTCGTGCGCCAGCCTCGTTACCGCCCTCGATCGATTTTCTACATCTATCGTCGTCCACGTGTAAATTAAAGAAAGAAGGGTCATCCTCACCGAGTACACCCGGCCACCAACCTAGTCAACCATCATCGAGCTCGTCGTCGAACGTCTGTGACATTTGCAGTTCCTACGGCCATCCGTGGATCGAAATTTGCAAGGCGATACGAGCCACTAAAGGCAAATAAAAAGTGTGTGTGTCCCGAAGTATGTGTGTCGATTTAAACCGATTATATAACGCAGCTTACACGACAGAAAAAAGAAAATATTAATACGACATTATTTGAACCTACACAGCACCGTGTCCCGTCCCATTTTACTCGAACCTAACCTCCCCGCCATCTGTCTCGACCAAACGTCTCGAAACCTGATTCAAATAATATTACTTTAGACGTTGCTTTTATTTTTCGTCGAACGAAAAGATCCGAGTGCACGATGTGTCTTCTTTCTTTTTCGTTAGTTCGTGCCTTGTCCTAATCCTTACCTAATCCATTCCAACGATAATCAGTTTCAAAATACCCTACGCAACGATACCGGATGCATTTACGAATAGAACAGTAGTATTTATTGACTGTCCTTTTAAACGGGATATACTAGTATGTTGTGATTTTATTTTTTTTTCTTTCTTGTTTCTCTGTAGAAACGTATACTGTCCCTTTTGTTATATCGATTTTTAACGAAAACCGTAAAGTAACTTCACGAACGAGAACAACATTATTTCTGCTTGATAAATAAATTTAATAAATGAATGTTTCACTTGTGTATTATATACTATGACGATTTAATAAAATAGAATAAAGAAAACTAAGCTGTTTTATGTTGGTGGAATTATTTGTACAGTAATCAAGAATAGATTCGTCTAACGATCTTTCTTTTCGTCATTAGGATCATCTTCATAAAATAATCGTTTTATTCTGAATCGTAGTAAATTAATTCGGAACTACCTTATACGAAATAAATATAAACATATTTGTAAAAATTCAGATACGACGCTTTTCAAGCTAATCTTTTATCGCCTTTATTTGAATGATATAAATTAAAAAGACTTGTTGCAATTACAATTATTCACGCTACTACGTTAAACGTTTGAATGTAAGTATAGTTTGTTGAAATTGACAAACTGATCTACCTTTAGAACTTTAGAAAAATTGCTAGAGGCTCTCTAATCCATTTTCGTGTCACATGTGCCATCTACTGGTAAATAAAGGATTTAACAGAGAAAAAATGTTTTTTTTTAGAACACCCTGTACAGCATGGCGTAGCAAATGCTAAACTCTCTACTGAAGAATATAGCACCGTATGCATATGTACACGGTAACTAGAGGATCTTTAAAAATAACGGAAACTAATGAAACGAATAAAAGTTCACTCATTGTAATAACTGTAATGTTTATTATCACAAACTATGAGTTAAATCGTACACAGTAATGTAAGAAAATTAATCATGATTTTTATAGTTGCTTCCTTTTCCGTAAATAATTTTATATCATTTTCACAAATTAATTACAGAATCACACGATGCCTAAAAAGTTTGCTGCATGAAATACATGCACGATCGACAGAACACAGAAGTCTGTAATTAACGTTATCTTAACCCGATAAAATGTTTGTCGTTTAAACATACAAATTTACGTTGACTTCAAGTTGCAATACGAGTAAAATACTTAATCTATATGTATATATATATATATATTCTGTTGCCAATAAATGGATCAAAAATGTGATCAAAGGCACCTTCTGATATTAATTACATTTACGATCATATAAAAATTATATTGCTTTAACATACTACTATATACACTGATGATCTAATGTTATCAATACGTATGAGTTTTTCATTGTCTTCTTATGCGTGTTACTACAAGTTAAGGTGCTCACGTTTTTTAAACATTTTTTCATAAAATATATATTTATATAATTACTTATACATTCCATGTATATATATATGTATATATATATGCATATATATGTGTATATACATACACGCATATTACTGAAGCATATGCACATATAAGTATATACATGTTCAAAATTTTTTTAATGAAACTACAGTTGGCACATAGCAATTTTTCGTACTTGTTGGAACCGCAAGTTTTGGAATGTGTTCCTAATAATAAGAAGTAAACACGATATAAAATGTAACTATTTTCTTTTTCAAGTAGTACTATTCAATTTTGTTATCAGATTTATCAGTATTATCTGAACTGTAGTTTCCACAGGCTAGATATGCACTTGATCGTTTAAATGATTTCTTTAAAATATTGCTCTTTACGCCGCTGAGATTATACATACATATATATTTATATATATATATATTTATTTATTTATAAACAATGATTGTAGATCGTATAACGATAAAAAAAAACGAATTCTTAAACAATAACAAGGTATACCACTTGATACTAAAATCACATAAACGCTCGATATCCAGGCTAAAAATCTTTCGCCCGACTTTCGACAATACGGTTACTTTGACTTGGAAAACGCATCGAATGTTTTCGTAAAGTCAATTAAATAATACCGGTATCCGTTTGTCTCTTACCTTTTATTATTCGCTCTGAAAACGTTTTATTCAAAATGTTGCAATATGTACTACAAAAAATTATGCATAGCAAAGATCAGATTAGTATTTCTTTTTTTACGACGATATAATAAATCTTTCTTCCGCGCGTTCCTATAATAATTTTACTGTACAAAATTTATCAAGATATAAAATCTAAAAAAGTATTCTTGAGTCCGCTTAAGCGACGAAGTCTTCATTTTAAAAAGTTTTTTCTAAAAATTTAAAAAACGAATTACAAGTATTTACGATATGTATCATAATCGTGCTTATTGCAGTTCAAATGCTGATTTACACGTATCAAAAAATAGATATTAGATGTTGATGTGTGGCAATTAACAGAGCGACACATACGTCATTACAGGCACAAACGGTTCCGTACATAGACTCGCAGACTTGGTGCAGTTAATATATTTAGTAGGAAAAATTTGGTCCGACAGTTTTTCTACAAACTGTTGACTGCGTTTCGATCGTATGTCATCACATGTGAATCGTTGCTGCCGTGTAGCGTGCTTCTCCTCTTCGCCAACTCCACTGACTTGGTCGGTACTGTTATAGAAAGAATTAGTTTTAAATGTTATTTTAATACATTAACAAATAAAATTCTCCACTGGGTGGGGGCTCAAAGGACTATAGAATATCACGGAAATAAATACAACAAATCTTTACCCTGATCAACATTTGTCCAGATGCACTGTGAGGATTACGATAAGCGTATGCAGCCCAAGCTGCTAGTCCTACGACTAAAGCAATTACTAGGAGAATTCCAATGATTCCAGAAACTCCCATGTTCATGTTGTCCCGAGCTACAACCATAAATCATACATTACTATTATACAAGTAATTACAAGTAGTCTGCAGATGTTTATACAGCTATAATATACTTGAATTTGCAGCAAGCATGCAAACTTCGTTGTACAGATGAGAAAATAAAGTAAATTACGCGAAACGCGTAAAATATATAAAATAGTTAAATTTAAGATAGTATCATTCTGAAGAAAATATTGATTAAATACACGTCAAAATAGTAAAATGTATGCAGATTTAAATTGAAATCTTACAACGTTCTAGAGGACTCGTTCCAGGTTTCTCTGGCTTCGCGTTCATAGATTCACTGCTGACAGTTTTCTCCGAGTGTACATGTACAACATGATTGAAATCTTCTTCGTGTTCCTTATACGTCGTAGTAGGAGATGGACAATTATTAACATCTTTTATTTTTCTAACGTCACAACCTTTCAACAGCCAATCCTGTCTTGACCTAAATGTTCCAGTGCTGCACTGATTCAGTTCTGAACACCATTTGCATTCAAAATCTTTTAATTTCGTTAGACAATCTTTGCAATTGTCCATTTCTAAGCATGTGGGCAACGCGTTCAAATAAATTACTGTCCAATTTTTAATATCCTGTCGGTTGAAGTTCACGCGATGGTATTCATAAATTGTTTTTCTGCGAACGACTGTAATTAGAATAATTCATTATTCTAATATCTTGCAATATTCTTGTCTTGAATTTTAAAAATAAATCACTGAATGTACTTACAGAATACTATTCTGTCCATGATGTAAGCATCGCTGAGACCAACTTTAACAGGATGCGCTGTATCTTCTATTAATTCAACCATCAGTGGAATCATCGAATACACGAACACAATGTCACCATTTTGATGCAATGTCACTTGGAAAGTAAAGGCACCGGCTTCCGGTTTGTCTTGCAAAACTACCTTTTCCCACACAACCGTAAATGCAGTTCCTGTAATTACACGTTACCATCCATTAACGACATTATTAAAAACCAAAGCTTTTGTCTAACAGATGGCACAGTGTTTTGGAAGACAACGCTTTAAGGTATCTTGCATCGATAAGAAATTTGAAATCGTTTTCTAAAGCTCCAGTTATATTAAAAGTTTTGAGAAACTTTGTGTATCATTATCATGTACTAATGACTTACCATTGTCGGCATATTTTACAAAGCTCTCGTTCGACAAACGAGTATCAAAATTCGCCATCAATGGAGCTATGTATTGAGTAGCGGCGAGCCAGCTATGAACATATTCGCCGGTATACAGGAAGCCACCAGTAGCTATAGTAATGTTACGAACTTTGTGGCCGTAAAACGGAAAGTCGAATTTCAATTTGACCGTCTGTTAAATAAAAATATTCATGTATTAACATTTCTGAATATGGTCATTAATCGAGTACGGTGTCACGCAACTGGGAGGAGTTGCAACATATGCTCTGTCGAAAAGAAGAAACAGATGGTAAAAAGAATGAGTTGTATCTTACATACACGCGTAGTTGGAAACTTTGCTGGCAATCGCTCGTGAATCTACGCTAAACTTCGTGTATGAACATAAACTAGAAGAGTGAGTAATTTAAAACAATCTATTTTGGATCAAAGCGAAAAGCGTGTAATAACGACTCATAAAATGTAATAACGATGTATCATAAAATGTACAGACGTAATCATTTCTAAAATACAATTTTATAAACAACCCGATGAAAATCCCATTGCTTTGAGTAAATTCATCGTCAGATTTCAGTATTATTTAGATACTTTCTGCATTTCCCTGAAGTTTTGATAGATGGCGCTACAAGACAGAATATCTAACATACATATTTCATTTTCTCAAACAGAGAATATAAAGTACCAAAATTTATATTATTTCGTCTACAATCAGAAGCTTTTATACGATATAAAATTGGAAAGTATATTGTAAAATCTGTACTTAATTCCGCGATACATAGACCTATAATGCTTTTCGTATTAAATATTCTCGAAGATTGAGAAAAATAAAGAATGCAACATATCCCAATTACGCGACACATCTCATATACCGAAATACTCTTCGCTCACCGCGGCTCGACGATGACTCTGACTGAGCAAATTATTAATTTTCAGTTCTGGATGATTGTCGATGTCCACCCAGTACCTTCTGCCCACGGCCTCGTCGATTATGAACGTGCTGTTGTAATACTGATGCGTGTCCACTTCGGTTTTGGTGATGTTGTGTTGAGACAACGTCTTGTTCGTCACATCGGAAAACTTGCTGATAGATATATCTCCAACGGTGCTATCGGAATCATCCTTCTCGACCGTAGACAATGCCACAGAGGATTCCGTCACGTTCATCAAATTCTTGACCTCCGCTGTTTCGGTCATCGCGAACTTCATGTTCTTAGTGTAGTAAACCTAAAATGGAATCTGTATTTAAAAAACAATGCAAAAGCAAATTATCTTATCGGTAAAGGAAGATTTTTATTAGTTGCACGACTTATTCGCGAAAGAATCATTCCGCGTGGCAAATTTTTGAATCCACAAATATTTATATTTCCAAATATAGACATTTTTCAAGTTCTCGATTCTCAAATTTTTAGATACTCAGGTATAACAATTCTCAAATATAAACGTCTGCAAACCCCTCGAGATTTTCAAATTGCTAGGTTTCCAAATTTCTAGACCTCGAAATTCTTTAGATCCCTAAACCTAACTGATCCTTAATCTCAAGTCTGACAGGACTTTGAGCTATTTGACAGAATAGCTGCCCCCAAAATTCGTGAAACGCGTGGTACACCTCTCCAACAGTGGTTATTTTTCGTAGCGAACCAAAATTTGCTGTTGACTGTACGGTATTTGCAGAAAAGAAGTTAAAAATAGTCTGTTTGTTTTTGAAAGTCGTACCGATTCCTCGGTCGGAGAAGCAGCATCCGATGGTTTCTGCGTCGTCGCGGGTTCCTGTTTAACCATCCAAGGCGTAGAAGACGCAGACGATGTAGCGACCGCTTCAGTCGTCGGTTCCATCGCCGTCGAAACGTTCGGGGATGCCTTTCCCATTTCTATCATCACTTTTGGACGTTTCCTCGTAATCTTCGGCTGTTGCACCGGTTGCTGTGACTGTGGCTGTTGCGATTGTTCTTGCGGTTGTTGCTGTTGTTCTTGCGGCGGCTGTTCGGTCGTAAGAAGAGGCTTCTCGTTCGTATCCCTACGACGTCTATCGTATTGCTGTGCATCTTCCACCAGATCCTCCATAGACACGAAAGAAAACTCAACCGGTCCATTGTCGTAGCGCGATTGTCCTCCGGATCGTCCAAGCTCGTAGTAATATCGATCTGCAAACATTCGAGTAAAGACATTCTCTATAGGTACTTGGAAAAATTCAGAAATCATGAATTTTCCGAGTATTTTGCCCCGTCCATAGCAATGGAACGGGGTGTAACGTAATTCAAGATCTAGAAGGGAAGACGGCAATGGTGGACAGCACGCAAAGGCAAATATAGAGAATACAGAGTCGAGAACGACGCGACGATTCGAATCAATTGATGGATCGCATACTCGACGGTCTGTTGATGAAAGGGGTCGTGCACGGTCGTTTTACGCGTGGCCCTGCATTAAGCGGCCAGTCAGTGTCGCGGATCAGTATAAATTCCAGTCATCGGTGCCAATGTTTCCCCATTAAAGCTCCTACTCTATTCTCCCGTTAATCGTAACGATCTCTTCGAGGGTGAAGGGAAAACGGAACGCGAGTCTTTCGCGTTCGTCTCGGGAAAGATAGGAAATCGCGGAACAGGCGCGATCGATTTTTGTGAAAAATTCAATTTATATTATTTATTCGAACGGACGTTATACTCGGTGATCCGTGCAACTAGGTCAAGTCATAGCTATAAAACTTGGAGAGAAAAAAAACGTTCGGCTGAAATGATATTTTGAGAACAGTTACAGAAACAGGTAGCAATTATTTTAGCAAATAAAATAGCCTTTCGAGAAAGTCGATGTTGCTCGAATTTTTCTATTCCGCAAAATGTTTGCATTATACACGCATATTTGGTCCGAAAGCAAAGCGCAATTTCTTGAATAAAGACGGCTAAAGTGAAAGTAAGAGAGAAGAACCGTTGGGAAGAACAGGATGCCAGACGGTTGTGACAAACTATCGCGACCGGATAGAGCAATAATTGGCGATCCGACAGATAGTCGAGAATGTACGAAGCTTGACGTCAGTATAAATTTTCATGCTCTGAAAGCTGGCTCGATTAAACGTTCAACTCTCAATCGTTATCCGTCCTTCCCCTCTCGGCCAAAGGAGACGACAATTTATTCGAGCCCCGTTCAACTTTACTCGCCGCTCATACGTCATGTTACACGCTTTTCAACCAAAATGTAATACAGAAACCTCTATTCTGTTCATTGGAGTGTACAACTTCGCTGTAAACTCCGACCACTCTGACCTTACGAATGCCCTAGAAATTCTCATTTTCATGATAAATGATCAATTACTCTCACAATAAGAGCGAAGCAGTAGTTTCCATTAATCAGTCACCGATTAAGACTTTGTAGAGATAAACATCGTTACACTACATTTTAATCGAATAAAGATGAGTTCCTCCAGGTGAAATTAATAGTCTATTAATTTCCGCACGACTTCATTGACACGAATTGAACGACTAAGGTGTTCGAAATCTTGGAACGAGTAATTGCAGAGAATAAAGGTTACTTACGATAACGATAGAATAATATATTTTAAGAATAAAACGATAAACTAAGGATAAGCTGAAGGAAGTTACGCGTTAACCTTTGTTCTTCACGGATCGATAGGTATCGATCGTAGGCAGGAGAGGTCGACGACACGAAATGGGATCGTTAATACGGTCTCCCGAACCGCTTAAAATCGCGCCGAATTAGACGCGGCCAAGAAAGGCGTTTTTATAGTCGACTAAGTACGGAAAATTGATCGTGGGCCGGCTAATAGGTGTTCTTATCGATCATAAAGGGAATCGGAATAATTTCTCGGGACGTTAAATAGCGAGCAAGGATCATTACGCTAACTATACTTCCAAAAGAAGGAAAAAATACTGAAAATTACGACGGTAAAAATAATAACAATTAAACACGCGTTTCCATATGTAAAAATCTGTAGTTACACCTTTGTTTAAACATACTATGCTAAAGAGCTTGCTATACTTATGCAAATCATGCGATATACTGTGAATATATAAAACTGGGTATTATTCGCGATTCCGCGTAACGGTGGTAGATCTTACGTGGCGCGATTAACCGTTTCTACAAATTATGATCATTTGTTGAACACTCTGTATATAGCACACCCACGCGTTTAAATATCACCGTTATCCGGTGACACAATGTCTTTGATTGTCGGTCGGAAGCTGCCAGCAATGTCAATGCTACGTACACTAAACGCCACAAACATTTATCTTCCAAATTGAATATAAACGTTGAACATCGCAATTGGAGATCAAGATGAATTTTTACGCAGCGTAGATTATCAGCTTGATTGTCGCATTAGCAAGATCCGGAGAATGTTTTAAAAAATCTTTAAATTATATCTGTTTTAAAGAACGAGTTCGTGACGCATCTTTATCTGCTCGTATCTTTGATTGTTTGATTAAGTTTGGCGGTACTTAGTCGCTGATAACAACCGGAACAACGCGTTTTAAATCGTGGGAGGAAATGTAGATTTCTGAAAGCGGAATAGACTTTTAATAGCATATCGAGGAGGCAATTTGCTAGCCGAAGTGTGAAGGCATAGAAGGAGATGGAAAAATGTGCAGTCAAGGATGGGGAGCTGAATGCGAGCATAGAATTTCCGCTCGAAGCTAGTTATTCGACGCAACGAGAGACAATGATGTCGTATATAGTACTGTGAAGCGTAGTATTATTCGTTAATTATCGTTAATTATTACGGTAACGTTACTGTCAGCGTAATAACGTGGACGTAATTCGTGGCCAGACGTATCACAAAATATATTCACCGTCGTTACCTCGAAACGAGAGCATCGATTTAAAATTTAAAACTACATTGTTCGCTATTCCTGCTTGTTCAAGGACGTACATCGTGCAGAATCTTGATTGCAACTCGGTGCAATACGCGCGTCTGTCTGCCAAACGAATAAATTACTTTCGCCGAGCAGAGCTTATCATTTACAATTCATTAATTGCAGGTAGTTGTAAGGAGCGATGAATTTTTCAAGCGATTTATTCAAGAATCGAATAACATTTGAAGCGGTTTATAACCTTGTATACCATCGTTGTTAATGTACAATGCGAATTCACCGTGGACTTTCGCTATATTACTATTATTTATATCGCCAACTAAAAGAGTTCTTTACAAGGACTTTCACGCAGATTGCTGATTCTCACCGCGCGTTAATATTGCCACGAGCGAACTATTATATCGCGAATCGCAAACATTTTTCCATCCTAAAACTCTATCCGTGGCAATATAGCGAAAGTCCACTCCGTCATTTCCCTACTCTTTGTTTACGGTATCTGACGCTGAGAATCGGCACACGCATTGTTCTCTCCCATACGTACATCGATTTTAAAAGGTTTTCTCGGTAAACGAAAGATAACTTGTAGCAACTATCGGAAAAGGCAGTATCGACACTTTGTCGATTGTAACTATAGTATCGGTCCCTTATCCTGAAACCTCCTATACAACGCATGCGCAAACGCGTAACGCACAATCCACGAACCAGTTTTTAAACGTGACTCACGATTGTCCCGTATCGTATCATACGCGACACCCTGTAAAAATAGCTCCGGGCAGAACTCGTTCCCGAACATCTCGGGAGGATGCTTACCCTCTGCACGTGTTCTTCTGTTTTTTGGAAAATATTCCTGGTTTTTCCCGACGAAACATATGCATTCATTTTTTACTCGCGCGTTTGCATTCTAAAAGTTCACGGACTGATTCTTTCCTAGTTACGTTATCTCGCAGCTTCTCTTAAAATTACCACAATAATTCGCACATAGTGCCTGGTCGAAGTTTGCAAGATTGTCACGATCTTTGAACTTTAATCAAATTTAATTTAACACGCGCAAAAATTGGTAAAAAAAAATGGAACGATTGTCCAACCGATAACAAAATATTCCTATAGCATTCCCGTTCCAAAGCTAACCATTAATATTGCAGGATTCTGTATTGATTGAACTTGGAGGCAATTCGAGGAAAAGTAACAATGGTTTTAAACGCTAAACTACCAGACTGTACAATCGTACAGAAGAAAGGTATGCTGAAAAAAATAAACTTTGATTACATGCAAAGTTCAATTAAAAAATCAATTACCATCCGCGAACGCGATGTTTGAAAGCTGTTGTAAACCAATTAACTGCGAACCACACACGTGAACCGACTTCAGAACCAATTTTTCCAAAAATAGCAAAACAACGTATTAGTAAATCTGCAATTTTTTAATAGTTCAGAAATTCATCCTTATGACTAATATTTATTTTTATATTCCTTATACTAATATTTTAAAAATGAGATAATATTTCATGGTACACTCGACCGTAAAATATTCACTTCCGCGAAAACTGTCGACGGCGCGGCGTTTAAAATTCTCGTTCCAGATTGGCTGTTCTCGAACGATGGATAGAATCAGGTAAAAGTTACTCAACGTTCTCTTCTAAAACAGGTTATACAAAATGGCTGTCTTTGTGTTAGATTACGACTGCTAGGAGGTAAAAAGCATCGAGTTCCTTTTTTCCTTGCTTCTACCACGTTTTCCAAGTTTGCGAGCCGTGGTTTCTCGAGCATTGTTCGACGAAAGAAATACAACGTCGAAAAGACTGAAACGGTTCTAGATGTTTCTGCGTCTGTTAGCTTACGTATTTCTGGTGAACGTCTTTGCCGAATTACGTGTGTCTTAGCAACTTCTATTTTCAATTCTTTACTTCCTCGAAGAAATTATGGAATCACAAAGGAGAACGTTAAACTTTGAGGAGTTGTATATTTAAAGAAACTTTACCGGTGAAATTACGGAGTAAACACGAAGGAGGTTTCCTGCTCAGTGTAAATTTGACGATTTTTATCGCAATTAATATTACGACCGTTTACTAAACGTGTCAAGATTACATTGTTATATTTATCAAGATACAAATACTTTCGTAGTTGGTACTGTAGTAGCGAATAGTAGATGAAAGTTTTGTAGCGGTAGTCGAGGAGGATAAACGCGTGTCGGAAAAGACTTTGGAGTACAGCACGTATTCGTAACACTTTCCATTGGTCGGCGTATGAATCGTGGAGAAAAGGTCGTGCCCTATTGTGGTCCCGGTTCTCGTGTGTGAACGTAACGGTTCAATGACACGTGGGAAATTTTCACAATCGAGTACGCTTCACCGCGTACACAAATACGGCGTGCATTTTCCTTCCTGCGTTGCGTTACACTCCCATCGAGACGATGAACCGCCGAGAAAAAAGTGCTACGAACACGAAACACATTTTCCTCTCGCGCAAGAAACAGATTTTTTGTTCGCGACAAACCGTGGACCAGCTGGTTTAGATCAAGCGCCACAGGAAGAAATTTTCAAACGCAAAAAGACCGATACGATTCGATGACAGTAAAGTATCTCTAAATAGCGCTTGTGACGCATCGGTTTCGTGAAAATGTCCACGCGAACGAACGATTAATATTCTTAAGGTAAAATACATAATTATTTGTCGCTTAGTATCGCATACAAATGGCTAATTATAAGAAGCAACGTGCTAACGAGGACATTCCTCGGCTATTGGCGGCAATCGTAACACGAGGGTCGATAACGGGCCTGCGAGAAAATCAATGTTCGTTTTAAATATTTTGCTATCGTGCAAAGTTTCACGATATAAACGAGGCTTTATTTCGAAAGTCTTCGGCTTATCTAGCGAATGCGATACAAGCCTCGTTTCGATAATCTTAATTTGACCCGAAGTTCGACATACCTATCGTTTGAATCAGCCTGAAAAAAACGCGTGCCTCTCTAATTCGTCGACGATTAGTTCGCGTCGTTGCTCATAATTGCTAGCGTTCCTACCGAAGGAACGCATCCACGGTACCATTACGACCGTAATTGAGCACCATAGAAAGAATAACGATGCGCGATTTACGGCGACGAACGCGTCAACGAGATCCGCAGCCGGAGAAAAATCGATAAAATAGGTATCCACGAAAGAAAGCCGGCAAGATTAGCGACTCACGGTTACGAAGAAACGTTTACGAGATTAGAAGTTGATACTACCTCGAGGACAACGAACTTCGAAGCATCGATATCTCGCGATCGATATCTCCAGAAATTTCTAAGAAGATTATAAAACTGGAACATCGGCGAGCATTATGGTAATTACCGACGATCACGACAACGAAATGCAATTATTGGAGTTCGTTAGAGCGTCTCGAGGAACGATTCGCTTTTTCGACCAGCATTTGAAACTCGTTAGAAATTTCTGAAGAAAAAAAGCGACACGAACTGTGCTGGAACACGTCGACACGGCCTAAGGATTTTCAGGTCAGCGAGCACCGCAACGATACCATCGTCGTTACTCGCCTCGACTTCGGAAGAGTAACTCGCGAAGGAGATTGACAAACGATTACGGGAGACTCTCGTTATATTGCCGTGAACGGAGATCAACGAGCCGAACTGACTCGTGGTTAACGGATACGTAGGAAGGTGACTCGCGGCGATATAACGCGTCGTTACACGATGCGTGCCAATTGGACACCCCCGATGGCACTTCCGTTCCATTCGCGTTCGACAACTTCGAATGTAACATATATTTCGCATAATATATCGTATACGGCCTCCTCCGTTTTTACCGCTAGTTTTTTAGTCGTTCGATTAATCGTTCGTTAACATCTCGCGTATTCGCAAAGAACGGCACTGGCTCGTAATTAAAGTTATTTGCGTAACGCGTACTCGAACGATGCTTACGTAAATGCAAGGACGAAGCCGGTCGAAGTGTATAGCATCTTTCGAAGTCCTGCTAACTGTCTATCTGCTATAAAGAAATCCCACGCACGTCACCTCGAAAGTCACAGGACAAAATCTACTCTCCTCTACTCGTGGAACGCAACGATTCGATTAGCCTTTGGTAATTAATTGTGATATTAATTGCGTTTCAATCGCGTCGACGCAACGCGATCAATCGCTCTTTCAAATTAACTGAAATATTAATTGCGTTTTAATCGCGTTCGAACTAACGCGAGGAAATTCTTGTCTAGTCGAGCGATGATTAAGTGCGTTAATCGAAGAGCCGTTCGAGACAACGAGATAACGAAAAGGAATTATTGTATGGAATAGACCGTCGTCGATTACCTTCGTTATTTGTAGAAACATGAAAGACGTTTATTCATAAACGTTGCACGATGTATAATTCTCGCTTCTTTCGTACAACGTATTATCTTATTATTAGTCACTCGTTACTCGTTCGAACACTGATGTAATCGACCAGTTGCGAAAGATTAACGAGTTCTAGAACTTTAGAAAACTTCCAATTTCGAACGATGTTCGACGCAATTAGCATTCTCTATCCTGCAGCGTGTTCGCGAGAAATGATACGCGTACGAGCGAGTGTCAAGGAAATTCACTTTTCCTGAATATAGCTATACCGGATCGTTGAAACGGTTATTCGCCGCGGCGAAAGTTTCGTCGTATTGCGTCAACAGGTGAATTGGTCAGCAACGAACCGGAAATTTCGATTAATTTTCTCTAGACCATTTAATATATTTATACCAGAACTGCCATGTCGATACTGCAACGGCGGGATAAAAGAAAAGGAAAAAACGAGGAGCAGCCACGAAAGAGAAGGGCCGAAGACCTCGAGATTCGTGTGCGGTGGTTTTCGGTGAAAGCGACCATTATTCCCCGGGACGTGCTTGTGCCATGAAAAACGAGACTGCGAGATCTCGATACCCCTATCGATTCATCGGCTCTGCATTTTACCCCGTGGTTATTAACCCCGTAACTACGCTCCTCGACCCGCGTTTGCTTTGAAAAATCGCTCTACGGTAAAATAACAGCGGAAGAACGAATAGTGGAATAATTAAAAGACATACTAATTGTAAATACGCGGACACTTATTATTTCCTGCCGATATTCTTAATCGGAAACGTATTTTCCCTCAAGAACTTGTAACGTGACAATGAAACAACGCGTTCGATCGTTTCTCCGTGTTTTTATTAGGTGACTATTTTAGCCCGATCGGCGAGACACAGCTAACGCGGCATGAATTGCAAATCAGTTTTCTTTGTGCATCGAACGAGCTGCACAGTAAACTTCTTCGATAACTGCATTGCCAGAAGAAACCTCTGAACAATTAATCGATCCGTGGTTTCTTCGAATTTTACATTCTTCGACGATTCAATGTCGAAATCGTTGCGGTTCGTAAAACCTTTAAAAATAATTCTGTCAGGAAAATATTCGATAGTCACGAATTTCTAATAATAGAAATAATTACCAACTCCCTTCAATGGACATAAATCATCTATCACCTTATCAGTAGTATCGACGAGTAGATCAAATTTAACGCGGAACGGTAATCGTACTAATTGGCCTTGAAACTCGTCAACGTAATCAGTATTTCACGATCGACGTTCTTCGAAATTATCATAATTTGTTTATCGTTAACTATCTTTTCCATTCTACTTGCGTTGATCTGTTTTCTCCCAGTAATCGACTAGACGGAGTGATTCAAGGAAAAAAAACTATTTACACAAAAACAATAATTACTACAATCAGCGCTTATCTAAAACGTGCATTTTATGTTTCATAATCGAATGAGCATTTCCATTTTTTCCCTGTAATCTTAATGAAATGCTTACTTTACTAAATGCATGAACACTGCATTTAGACGCGATTATGCATATACGGATACCCGAGTTATTTTTAACTACTTTGGAAATTTGTATTATTATCGCAGAAAAGTTCGCGATCTTCGATGAAAGTGTCGAGTTTCCATCTGGTTCGACGATTTATCGCTTGAAATCGTTGGAGCATAATCTTCTTAATATCCCAATTTCCTCGTCTTCTCCGCTTTTCAACTATTTCACAGTCCAACTACTAAGGACTACCACTTTCTAGCATTTCGCTATCATTGTAATGTTATATTCTCTACCGCCGCGATATCTATTTCTTATTGAAATCAATTCTGAATCGATGCCGTATACGGGCGCAGTTTTGCGTGTTTGCGCTCCAGTAACGAGACGGAGGAGAAAAACAACGGCACAACAGAAGAGAATCTGATCCACGATATCAGAAATCAATGATTTTACGGCAAATTGGACCGATTTGTCACGGTGAGAGCGGTGAAAGCAGTATCTGGTAAGTAAATGGACCAAAACGTTGGTCAAAAGAGAGAACGGAAGAATACGAATATGCTAATGTTCATCAAAACTGTTCCGCTCGGTCTACCGATCGAACTTGAAAGAAAAATTCGATATCGGTCTGGGTCAGTTTTCTAGTTAAACAGCTCGACAAAGACCTTAATGCCATTTGACCTCAAAAACATCTTCCAAAGAAAACGACGACGTTTCGATGCCATGACCACTACTACGACGATTACGACAGTAAAATATTAGCCTGTCTTTCGCAATCGCCAGTTTACTATAATCAGCAGTTAGTCATCGAAGAAATCAATATCAAAATTAACACCACAGTTTTCCTCGAGTTTCAAATTTTCAATCGATGCGATAAAAGCGTTGTTCCGCGATACTTCTCTCATCGAATCTTATCGAAATTGCATGTTTCGAAACCGGTCATTCAACATGCAATAACTTAACGCATCCACGATAGCGTCAACATTTGTTCTTATTAAAGAAAATTTGAAATTCATCGCGTATACGTTTACCGGTAAAATTAGTATGCGCGTTCGTTCACCATATGTGCATACATATTTACCGTAACACCAGTATTATACTTAACCGATCGTAACACAAATAGAACTCTCTCTCCCGGTCTCTTTACTACACGCGTAAAGCTAGTGTGCGTAGCTTTAGAAAATGAATAAGCATCGTGACTTTCAGTACGAATTTCCTTCAATTGATACTGTTACAAAACTGCTTTTTGTCATTCAATGAAGTCGTTCCTATTGAAGCGAAACAACGAATCGCGGAGCACGCGCTATTTCGTTTAGTCGATTCTTCTATGAGAGACATTTTGCCGGACCGATCGATACGCGGCCAACTGGAGGACCAATCAAATATGAACAAATCGAAGAAGCTGAAACGCGTTTCTTAACATTTTGTACACGCTCACGACACCGAAAAATAATGAATCACTGAGTAGGTAGAAAACACTGTGACACGAAATACGTATAAAAGATTTCGTATGGTAAAGTAAAAACCATCGTAATACGAAGTAAAAGCTTTTAAGCTAATTCGATATATTATACTGGCAAAATTCGCCTTACTTTTCGTCATCGGGATAACAAACTTTCGTTCTCGATCGATGTTACAAAAATATGTGCGAACCTATTACTTCACTCGACGTAACGGAGAAAGCATGCATATTTGATGGTGCATCGGTAGATAAATGTTTTAAGAAATATAAAAATTACGGTGAATAGAGAGCGACTAACGAGCCGAGATAACCACTTCCTTCGTGTCTTCTTTTTTACATCGTCACGGATAGCTGCGTAAAAAATAAGAAAACGAATAAACGAAACTTGCCCCCTTCGTAAATCAAACAAGCGTATTGCTGTTTTAAAAGCGATCATTGTTGAAACGTTGTCGTCGTGGTCACCGTCGTCGAGGGCAGGAGATTACGTTGAACGTATCGGAATGTGTGTCACGCATATAAAACGCGTAATCTTTATCGAGAGTACGAACATATGCATCCGCAGCCTTGATTTAACCTTCCATTTATGACCGCGTATTTTTATCACCTGTTTTCTCGCGAGCCTCGTATCGCAATCGTTGAAACAATTTCATAAACAGAGCGAAAAGAAAACACGAGGATACATTCAAGAATTTCTTGTGTCGTTTAACGATTCAACAGGAGATTGCAACTGCAAGAATTTTCCGCTGCCACAACTCCGTTTACGGTAATACGGCAATCTACCTCAGCTACAAATTCTCGCCTTTATCTAATTTCAGCATAGCCGTTAGCGTCGGGTAAATTAGGCACTTGTCTCGAGCACAGCGTTTCAACTTTCAAATTTTCGAAGGGTACGGCAAATAAGCTGTTGAAAAGATCGTAACGCGCTGTTCGATAGCTTACCGAACGAACGACGTCGTATACCAACTTTTGACCCTGTATCTCAATCGGGAAGGTAATTACGTGCAAAATCCGGATTATCGAGTTTCACCTTATTTTCCCTGTTTAGCGACACGCTAGAATTCCGAAAATAATTCAAGGACATTGTAGTCATGGTAATGTGTATTATCTTAAAAATTTTCTCTTTGTCTTCAAAATTAAAGAGCGAAAAAATTAACTCAGAGAAATACAAACATCGTCCGCTGCATCCAGTGACATTTGTTTCAGCACCGGCAACGTTCAATCGCGCGATTAGATGGCGAGGAGTTAAGAGGATCCATCGCAGAACAGTTCGTTAAATACAATTTACTTACGTGCCCGGAGAATTGAGTCAATAATTGTTATCGAGGCTAGCAGTAAGCAGCAAGAGCGGCGCGTATCTCGTTCGATAGAAATTATCTCATGAATTATTTGGCGCCGACTTACTTATAGCTGCCAGACAAGACCAACGACGATCATACCGTTCCTTTCTTGTTGTTGTTCACGCGAACGATGATACCGCTCGTCATAGTTTCTTTCGTGTACAAAGATTGATTTGCACACACCTTTCTACGCTATTGTCACAACACTGCGTTCAAATGCACCGCAATCCATTATTTTTTCACAGCCAATTGGAAGCGTGCGATAAAAATGTAACGCAGAAGAGATACGCATACAAAAGAAATCTGTTAATAGCGGCATAACCAATAAAAGCAACAGGAAGGAAAATGAAAAGACGGAAGTTGCATTGAACCTCAACGAGCGTTGCAAAAAACCCCGGAAAGGCAACTGCGACATGCAACAAACCTTGCGAACACGGATAACTTGTTACAATTTGCCTAAATTGTAAAATCATAATTAGTAGCAGGTGACTAATGATATCTAGGTGCAGACTATTTATATCTGGTGAAAAGAACGAACAAAATTAGCGGGAAATGGAAGGAACTAAGGAAAACATATTTGTGAGAATGCTAATCGGTGAACTTGTGTCGTTTGGAATTCACGACTTCGATTTATCTTTTGTTTGTCAAATTCAGCATTTATTTTTAACGAAATGAAATTCGCAATTGAACAGCTCGCCAGGGTCAAATATCTTGGTTTCGTTTGGGTATAAAATTGTAGAACTCGCGTTTTACACGAAAGATGTATCCGATAAAAGATACTCTCGTGCGCGTGACAGGTAACCAAAAGTAAATACGTGAAAACGTGATCGAATGAACGATTCGTTCGATTAAAGTGTATCTGTATGCAAAAAGCGGAAGGGTCCGCGCAACAGGACGGTGAGCTTCCGGTAAGAGAAGCCCCAGCACGACACTGACAACACGAAAATAAGTTCTCCACGGACTACTACCTGTAAAGGTACCTCCGAACGTCGATCACGAAAATAACTTTCTACTATAACTGTCTTTTAGGCTGTACAATTGTGGGTTTGAACACGAGTTCCTTCTTGTTCCAAATATGTGGCCTTAGTGGACAATGCATGTCCAACGATTAAAGCATTCTTTTTGCGAACAATCATTCCGGTCTTTTGAAGCGCTTACAAGCAAGCGATACGTAAACGTATCGACTCCGTTTTAAATCGATCATCTTTCAGTTCGGATGGCCGATTAAAAGTGCAACGAACTCGAAATTTCACGCTGCAATCGCAACGTTTCGATACACGGTGAAAAGAATGCGAAGCGATCGTTTCTCCTCTTATTGCCAAATCACTTTTTGCTTTCAACATTATTTTAAAATGTTACATCGTATCCTGACACTTAATAACTTCCGAATAATTCGATCGATATAAAGATATCAATTACTTAAATGTTCGATACGGACAGATTAATGTTTTTGGATTAATACTGCAAAGATAACACATAGATAGCAAGGTAGTACATTATTCGAGTAAGTAAAACGCCCACGTGCTCCATTTGACGTGGTCGTTAAGTCATCTTTTCGCGGACGGTCCTCCTGATTAATCTTGATTGGCCCGTGTGTCTTACACACTGGTGGCTCGTACGAACGACGCGAGTTATAGGTCAACCACATTGTGGATAAGTGTCGTATTAAGTGTCGAGTTTAATCGCTCCCTTTTGATCGTATCGCGAACGCGTAACATTTGTTATGACTAAATGGTACGGCGCGACGTTGACCTCTTTACAGGGATAATTAACCGCCGATGAAATTAATAGATCACCGACCAATAATTTCCAATGACGACGCTCCGCTCAACGATAGGGAAGCAAGTCGAAAAAAACGTTTGAAAAATTCGTTTATCGAGCTTGATGTTCTATTACGGTCTTCGGATAACGTCTCCAACGATGAACCAAGAAACGTTCGTTTTTACACGTTCCAACTTCATTCGGTGAAATTATCACGATAATCATTATCCTGCTGGTTACTCTACACTACAGATATACAGTACTATACGCGCTTAGATTAATTGCGGTAATGACGAGCGAGAACCGCAAGATCCTAAAGGACTATGCTTCCTCGGCATAAAGTCCTAATTCCAATAGAAAAATGATTGGTAGAAATTTCGAGAAAGCGAATATAATTGCTCGATACGAAATATTGTAAAATTTCCGTGAGTAAACGTTTACACGGTAGTGACGGGGCTTCGTTCCACTACGTCAGTGTTTTTCCTAGGGAAGCCTAGCCTACCGTGGTCATTAGTGCAGGAGATCGCCACGAGCGATAAGTCCAAATACTGTTGGAAAGTAGACTCTGGCGTATCGAAAGGATTAAAAGAAGAAGAAGCAAAAGGTTGGAGTCTCGAGGTGGTAGCAACATGCGGCGAAGGTGTAGATTTACGTCGAAGGAAGCGGCTTAAAAGACTGTCCCCGTCTGTGTTGCGGGTATTCGTAACGTGCATTGCACCCATCGTCGTGGAACACGATATAGGATTATGTCGTGTTACAAGCATATTGAACGCAATATACGTCGCAGAAACCGGATACGTGCGGGCGCGTGTACGCATCATCTTCGTGCTCGCTTCCTCTCGCGAGCGCGTCGCCGACGCTTTGTGGAATATTCAAATTCGAGATGATTTTCGAGTGTCGAAGAGGTACGCATATTCGGTGACCAGCAAGGTCAAACTGATTCGCGATCTGGACGAGAAATATGACACTTCGCGAAACAATACGGTAATTACAGAACCAAGTACACCTTTCAATGATCTTGACACATATCGTAAAGGTCAATATCCTAAGTAACTTCATCTATACGCGCAAGGTTCTGTAATGAGATCGAGCTGTAAATCCGAAATGGTGAAAGACGTTAAACAATCGCGTTACGCGAAATCGAATAGTCCGGCGCCGGAAGTGCAGTTGTTTCAAACATTTCGAGCTCTTTTCCAATTTTTCATTTTCTTGCCATATTACCGACTCCCCGAATCACTCTACGTGAAAAGAGTGCCGGATTGTAATGTTGCTCACGGTTCAATCGAATTGTAAACGTGGTACAGGGTGTACAATACAATATTAAGGGCAGCGAAGTTAATCGAGTCGATGGGGAGATCTGGGCTAAGCTGTTGGCTCCATTCGCGGTGAATATATGAATTCAACTGCATGTATTGCCAACAAGTCCAGATGTTCCCTATTTTTAGTTCGGACTCGCCGCAAATAACGTAAGCCATCAATTCGAAGAACTAATTCAAGGAGAACGTTGAACCTTCTATGATGACATTAACTATTTTATGATAAAAGATACGATTATCGAATAAATTCAAGAAATAGCTACCGAATATTATCGCTATGCTAACATAAACATATTAAATGCATATGATACGAGAACTGATAAGGTCTGACTTTTCGTAAAGAGATAAGTGGCAAGTGAACGATAAAGATTTTGCGATATCGTTAAACAAATCAAAGATAAACTGCTCAAAATAAACCAGACATTAAAAAAACAACAGTAAACGTAAAGTGCTATGCATTTTTACGAACTCCTCGTTTGCATTTAATTATTAAATCGTCATACGAAACATAATTTTCCGTTATATCGCCAAACATTGACAGCAACTATGCACAGAATTGACGCAATTAAATGATTCGAAAACTCTACCACCGATGACACAACCATAATTAATATTCGTATACTAAATAAATGTACGCGTCGAAAAATGACGTATGCGGTGTAGGGTTACTACATAATTCCCCTTGAACCTTCGCGAGTGTCCTTTTTGCACGAGTAGATCAACCCGTACACCGATCGAGTCCCATTGTCGCTTAATTGGTCCCGCAGCCTTGAAACGAGCGAATGTTCGATGGAGAACAGAAAGAGAGCAGAGCTCGGCTTGGAAAGCGCAATCCCGCTTTTCCAACGCAGTCGAGAGGATCGTGTTCGCGTTTCGCAGTCCTTTGTACAAGGCAATTTCGACTTGTTTCGCGTGAGTGGCACGTACACTCGTTACGTGCAAGTCCCACGACTGTGATTCGAGGAGCATAACAAGAGCGTTGTTGATCGTCGCCACGAAAACCACTCGAAACGAGCCAGGCTACCTAGTAGATCGTTCACGAGCGTTCTCACGTCGTACAACCACCTTTTTTGTTTTTGGAACAGTTCTAAAACCACTTTGCACTCGAATGTCACTTGTAAACGCAACATGTGTGTTTATATATCTTCTATCCTGTGCAATACATTCAATTCATTTTTAAACTGGAACTTTCAAAAATAATTAACTATCATACTGAAATATTCCACAGATGCTTAATAACATTAAGATTTAGCGATTATGGTAGTCACCTAAATTTTTCTATCTATTTTTCCTCAAAAACCTCTGATACAGCTTGTAATATGTATTCATTATATTATGACATCATCATAACTAACACCATCAGTTTTGTATAACTTTCTAACAATCTTCTTAGATTTGTCTGAATTATTAGCAGTATCATATTTTTTGTATTTATTCAAGAATTTTTTAACTCTGACAATTGAAGTTTCATGTATGTTTTCAATTTCTCAATTAACTATCGACTGCTTAATACTTCTATATTTCCTATTATTTTTACTTATCTGTAAAAAAGAAATCTCAAATAATTAAAAGAAAAAATGGTAGAGAAATATTTATTATTCTGTGATATATTTACTGTGTACTACATTTTAAACTTACTGTTATCCGTTGATCTTGTTGCATAAAATGAATCAATTATGTATCATCTAAATGCAGCCAATAAAAAAATATCAATGTCGAACAAACTATGGGAATACTCTGAAATAAAAGTAGTATTATCAAAATCATATAGAATGTTCATTATAGTAGTTACAAATATTTGTATGCACAAGTGGCTGTTTTAAATGTTTTTTTTGTTTACCATTGTACTTGCAGTTATTCATATTTTTATTTAAGTTTCCTTTCCTTTCAATTATCCTAAATGCCCTATGAGAGATTTGAACCCACGTTGACAGGATGAATCCTAATCCGTTCCTTTAATACCTTTCCACTCAAAACTAATTTTAATCAAATTTTTAATAGAACATCTGTTACACAGTTCCAGACATATTTGTTTAGAATTTGTATATTGAATGTTGTTTGATAAAAGCCAATAGAAAAGTTAATAAGGAAAATATACACCGATAACATCACAATAAACTTTCCTAGGTTAAGGAAATTCCTAATTATAAAACAGTAAGAAAACAAATATTCCCTTGTAATAATAAGTAAAATCTTAACTTATTATTAGATCAAGTAAATAGAAAGTTCTTTGCTGTGGGTCAAATATTTTTCATACAGAAGTGTTACATCATCCATTAATAAAATATTAAAACGTATAATTTTCTTACGAGAAATAACTATTTAAAACATACTGAAATTTTCTGATAAAGGTCTGAGAAAAGTAATTGATATTCCGTTTTAAAATGTCAAACATGGAGGAGAACATAACCTGCCATTCCACTATTTCTATTATACGATACTATGTAAATGAATAGTACACAAAAAGAATAATTTTAGAAAAAATGTCAGATAAATGACCCTATCACGATTTTGCAATAAACAGTGATGTAAAATTATTCATAAAATCAGTACTGTATAAGAAATCGGCAAACGTATGACAAACGCCGATAACCTCTCGATCTGTCATCTCAGAAATTTCGCCAGTCATACACACCGAGAATGAAAAACGGACACACACGTGCTTTTTCTTCTTCATATCACTGGAATAGCATGAAACTTTTATCTTTATCTAGCGATCTTAGATATCGACGGTATGTGTATACATGTAAACGGTGAACGGTTGCACTTGCTACTTGTCAGTATTGTTGCTAAATCGAAATCCCCCTCCCCATTTTACTGATCGCCAGGATAGCTTTCATAAAAGTATGTTCCTGTTCAGATAGAAAGTATCGCGACGTACTTCGAGAAAATGAACGAACAGGAAACAAAATAATCTTACACAGCATGAAAGGCAGGAAGAAAAAAAGTTGATGTTGTGTTCATTCGAACACAATCGTATATTAAATAGGCGAAATCGATCGAGTTATTGATTCGACCATACCTTGAAACATGCGAAGAAACGCATCGATCAATAGCGTTTATTTTTTGTATGACTTTTGAATCACGCAACGCATACAATTAAATAGTAAATTTACGCAGTAATCTTCTTCGCAATTATTGTAATTGCCATTCGATTTACAAATACAGATATACAGAATTAATTATTGATTACAGTAAATTAAAGTCACGTGACCATATGTCAAGTGCCATAATAATAAGTAATCGAATGATTATCGATAATCGGTTACATCGAAGTAAAAATATTCGATTCAATGAACAATTAGAAATCAAAAATGTCTAGTAATCCGTACAGTAAATTTCATGTAATTATATACACTTTAATAACTATTGAAATAAGAAACGTGTTATGAAAGATGATTATATTGCAACGTGTAATATCACAACGCGTTTTATAACCTCATGTTTTATCGCCATGTATTATATGACCTTTAAATCTAACACAACGTTCAATAATGTATCAAATTTGTTATATAGATATTTTAAGTGATTCGGTAACTACTAAGATGAGAAATGTGTTATAAGAGATACGAACGAAGGAAATTGTCTCTTTAAAAAAATACAATCACATTCAGTGAAATTGTATAGTAGAGTAAGCGTAGGATGAGTCGTACGTTCATTTTCTTGTTCGAGGTATAAACTTTTCCCTTTTTCCTTAACAATGCTCTCTCTAATGAATAATCCCAAAACTGTTTTTTTTTTTTTCTTATTTCGGATCGCGTCTTTTCACCGAGAGAGGATATCCTCGAGACTGTATCTGAAAAGGGAACACGCATAGGTGCAACAAGTTGAAAAGCACACTCACTGAGCTTGTTGTCCGCAACGCTCGATTCGAGATGCTGTAGTACGCAGAAGGCCAGCAACAGGATGTACAGCCATCGTCGGTTAGCTCCGTCACAGCCACGGTTAAAGCACCACCGTTGTTCACACGCCATATTTACGAAGCGGCTAAAACTCTCCTGCGCTACACGAATATAAATCCGTGCGCTTCGAGTCCCGTCTGTCTCGCGCGACCGACGAGACGAGACGATGACGGAAAGACGAACAGAGAGAGGGGGTATGGAAAAACGACGGAGATGAAATAAGAGACGATAGAAAAAGACAGAGACAACGGAAAATAAAAATGGATAGGTGCAACAGACACGGATGAAACGTTCGAGAAATGATAGCGAATGGAGAACGAGCCACGATTCGTTTTATGTATATCGAGGTTCTCACTATGCCGCTCACAAGTGTCACCGAGAATACGATTTCGCGCGACAACGATTATTTCGACGCGAACACGCGACAATTCGTGTTTCTTTGCAAAAGAACAGGCACGAAGTGTGCGTGTCGAGGCGAGACAAACGCCCGAGGACTTTGTTCCGACACGTTTTTAAACCGGTACCAGACGGATGAGGACGACAGCAACGAACACTTCTGGCACGAACGGCATGTTGGCTCTTACTGGCTCTACGTTGTGCCGCGTTCTTCGCCCGCTCTCCTGGGGGAGTTTCCGTTACATTATCTAGATAATAAAGAAGCTAAAGAGTTAAGATAATGGCGGAACCAATCAAGCCGTGGTTAATCCATGAACGCTTTTATTTATACGCTTCAAACGAAAATGAAATTCAGAAAAACTTTCGATCTTTTTACTAACAATTTATGAAATAACTCTTCGTTTATAATAATAATAAATTACAAAACTAGTATTGCGCTTCGATAGCATGTATTTGAAATTAAACATATTTTTTGTTTCAAATTGTTTAAACCTTCATTGTTTAAAACAAAATATCGATAATAAAAGATTTTTGCTAGGAAATATTAGTTAAAGACTTATCAAAATATTTCGTGTATGATATACGCGCAGTAGCTACATGTCTGTAACAAATTCTTTTGGTTTTAGAACGCAAGTGCTTGATGCAATAGGTAAAGAAATTTCGGAAGAATACGCATTGTCAGAAATAAACGAATGACATGAAGAAACGGGAAGCAATTTCACTTGATTAAAATTTGAATCTGGCATCAAACTACTCTTTATCACTGGATGTTGATTAAATATAGCCTACACAGAAAGATTTTTAGACCATAATGATGAATTAAGTATACTGTTATACACAGTACAATAATAAAATATAAAGTGAAGAAAATGGGTATTTACCGTAACTGTTGGCTTATCAGAAAATGTTCTATGACAATGTGCATCGTCTGAGTCAAGTGGGAAATTTAAAGCTGCATTAACTTGTTGAATTTGTTTGTCTTTTTTCTCTAACAAATATAATCTGTTTGTTGTTCTGTATATGTAATCTAATTCATCAAATGCATCTAATGCTAGAATAAGTTTAGATTCACGAATTCTTGTATATTCATCTTTTTCTTCTATGTCTTCTTTAGTTTTTATAGATTTTATTATAGTTTGTTCTCTATCTTTGATCAATTTACCCCACGAGTAATATCGCTGGGTCATCAAGAAAAGTGCCTGTCCATCCATACCAAGTGGGGTAATACCAACCTGTTCAAAATACTTAGAAATTTCTACCCATATTTGACCTACTTTTATTTTAAAATACAAATCTATGGAAAATATTGTAATCTGAAAACAGATATACGTTATTTGCAGAAGGTGTAATTGCACAAATTTTTCTTGTAACACTCACTCGATCTTCCATTGAAAGATCAACGCAGAACACGTTATAACGCTCTTTTGCAAATTGATATCTTTCTCGATCTCTTTCAATTATTCTTCGAATACTGTATATCTTTGATCTAACCGAGCCAATCATATCAACTATTGCTGGGCTAACATTTTGCATTAGTTTGGTGCAGTAAGTTTCTGACCATTGCTTATTGCCCATTTGAGGTAACTCGACATCTAATACATGACAAATAATATTAAATTTTTTATAGGTATTATACTTTGTTATGTAGCAATTAAAATAATTGTATAATTTGCCTAAAACAGAACCATCTGCATGTCTTTTAACTTTAACTCGTATTTCTTCTTCTCTCCATATCTTTGCTGCTAAAGACATCAATCCAGTTCTCTTATCAATTCCTCTCCATGTACATAAATAGGGCCCACAAAAATAATTATCACACATGTCAGTCAAAATACCCAGAAACACGCATTGTGAAGGATATGGAGCAATATCAAGTATATCAAGGATTATATATACTGCACCATATTTAACAAATTTTTTTAGGTTCTTAGGACACTGTACTATACATTCCCAAACGTATGAACCTATAGCTAATAAAAGACTAACAAAATTTTTTTATTACAACATTTTATAGATATTTTGTAACAGAAACTGTTAGTACACATTACCATTGATTTATTTGAAGTTCATTATCTTTATGATACAAACACCGAAAAAATAGTTCCATAGTTAATGCAATATTTTGTTCTCCATACATTTCTTGATAGAATGTTTGTTTTTTCAACAGTTTTTCAATCGAAATTAAAACCAATGTTAAAATTCTTTGATGCTTCATTGTAATTTTTTTAAAATCCAAGATGCGATTTATAAGTTCTGTTATATATTACATGTATCAAATTATTGACATTTTATAACAAATAAAAGATACAATAATTTATTAAAGAGAACTAACTGATTAGCAATAATGTAATACCATGCTCCCGAAAATTTTCTAATAAAATCACATTGTTATTCAAAATAATTGTGCAAACTGTTTTTGTCCAATTTAATACTATCTTCATATTAAATTTTGTACTTAAACACCATTCTAATATTATGAATAATCTATTAAAATTATTGATTTCGTTTGTATTCCAATATTAAAAACATTTTAGTTTTTATTTATTTATGTTTGGATACCTGGCAGTGCCATGATGCTTTATAAATTCTCTTGGCATTTTTGGAACTAACACAGACAAAGCATTTATAGCATATGTCCATAGGTCCCAAAATTGAGATGGATTCCACGTGATTTTACATTCTTCAACATTTGGATTGACAAGATGAAGCACGGTTCTCATTAATTTTCTATCTTCCATTAACTATTAAAAAGAAATATTATAAAATTGAACCCTTTATCAGAAATCATTAAGTAAAACATATCAAAATAATTACAAAGATACAAGCATCAATTTCTGCTAAATGTGTTATGATCAGTAATAAAACTTTCTGGAAGAATAAATCTTCATTTGATCTGCCAAATTTTACATTTTGGGAGAATACTCTTACAGATCCAGCCTCAACTCCATTAAAAAATTTGATAACATCATCTGCAATACCGCTACTAACAATGTTCCATGAAGGAAAAGTGATTAAAATTACAAGAATAATCACTGCAATTTCATTCCTAATTCGTATTCTGCTTTTCCTGCATTGACTGTAGCATACTTGCCTTTCAAATGAATAACACAAACCCCTACATCATATACATTAACTCTTTAATATTTAAATTTATGAAATTGGCACATAACGCAGTACACAAGTATTTTGCCTTCAAAAGAATTACCATAAACCACAATGTGCAGATGTTAAAATATTCTTCAAATTAATCGGTACTTCGTTAAGTGAAATAACAGACTTCATCAGACCCCATAAAGTATTCATTATTAAATCAGTTGTTTCTTCAGAATATTCATTTCCTATTAATAGCGAATCTGGTGGCCTTGTACAATGTAACTGAGTCGCGTAAGGAAGATCCATTCTAGCAAGTATGGTTTTTAACACACCAGCTTCGAGCATCTTGTGAGCTTCATTTAATATGTCAGAAGTACATAGTATAATCATTATAATCAGTAAAGAATTTGGTAAAATAAATATAGTAATTAGTACATACAGCATGTGCATGATATAGATGAAAGTAAAAAGACTAATTCCAAAAATTTTGGATAAGTATCTGGTGAGGAAGATTGTAATAACTCAGTTACAATGATTGGCAATTTTGATCTTTCTACAGCTCTATAACAAAGCTCGAGCTTTATTGTAGCAGCATTTTTTAATCTCTGTTTCATTAGTAAAGAATGAAGTGCTTTATGAACTTTTAGTGCTTGTTCTTGTATTGGTAAGATTATAAAAAGTTGACCCAATAGCGTAAAGTATTGTTCCATTATATCATTCTTAAAAAAGCCTTCAGAGGATTTTTCTAATAAAGGTGGTAAACTACAAAGTTCTAGCATTTGATCAAGATATAATTCATAATCTTTAACCAATTTAACATTCTGAGCCAAAAATTTCAATAATTTGATTACTATTGGTAAATCTTTAATTTTCTAAATATGATTTTAAGGAAGATATAAAATAATAAGATATGATCTTATATTTATACTTTTATATTTATTTTAAAAAACCAATAAAATACATGTCATTCTAATAACTAAATTAGAGGAAAATATATTTATTAAAGGATACGTAACCATCAGTTCCTGCATAACAAAGATAATCATGCAAAAGTCTACATATTCTAAGAACGCTAATATTTGTTATTGGATCAGATATAAGTTCATGTAATTTTGATAAAATATAATTCACATCAATTTTTAAAGGATTATTAAAATTAAATAATACTTTTGGTATCTTATCAGCTTTAGTATCAATTTGGCTAATGCATGGTAGACAATTAAATTCTTTACAAATATTGCTAACTTTTAATTTATCAAAATCTTGTATATCGAGTTCGTTTCGCTCCATGTGTTATACCTTTCATGTATACAGTGAATTAAACAATACTCGTAAATTTAAAATTAATGAATAATATTTAAAATAATTATTCGAAATACTCAGTAATTTTTATTAGAAATGCAAGTCAAAATTTTAAGTAATAACAATTTTTATGAGTTTAATAAATCCGTAATGATAACGAAAATATTATAATTTCGATAGACTAAAAATTATTATGAAGTTGAATTTCTATTAAAATAATGAATAATTTACCGGTCAAAAAGTCAAAGGATAATTTAAACATGCAACGAAGATCTTACCTTCTTCTATTCTAAACGTAACACAAAATTCATACAGAAAATAAAATATTACCACATTATCTCTAACTTTGTAAATAATGCGTCAAAAATTGCAGGCAAAATACGAAACAAAATCATTAGTCAACCATGTGGTGCCCTCTTACAAAATTTCTTTAAAACGAAACGCAGATGGCGCACCTATCAAATCGAGCGCCGACTCAGTATGTTTTAATTCAGTTCGAATTCCGTGGAAAAAATCCCATATTTTATACTTGAACATAATAATATTTAACCAAAAGTTTATGAAATTATATAGAAGAGTATTAATGCAAGTATGTAGTTTTCATTCTAAAGCTTAGGGATATTGGTGAGATGTTGCTCCTATCGGATGATCACCTACACGCAGGTCGTTCAAATGTATAAAACTTTCGTGCACATGCAGGAGAGAGTTTGTAGCAGTCGCCGACGCTGTCGACATTAGCAAGGTGTGTGCTCGTGCGCTTCAGTTTACCTGAATTTTTTATCCTATGTGATGAATTCTATATTACGTATGTTTAAAATACTACTTTCAAATATTTCGTAAATTGTATCGATTACTAGTGCAGACGGTATTCCAGTTGTATTCACGACATTACGAAAGTAAAAAGCAGGGCCGGCGCGAGACAGGTTCAGTGTTCCCTGGAACCTGGCTCCGTGTTTTAAAAGACTCCGCAGTTCGCAAAAAGTTCATCATAAATTTGACGGCATTTTATGCATATTTATTTTTTGTATATCGCTATATATGAAACTATGATTACTTATTAAATCCTCTTGTTGTGTTACCACACATTGTATCGTGACATATTAGCTTATTACTCGTATTACCATGCATTATAACAACGCGCGTAACACCGTTACGCATTATATTGCCGCACATTTTATTGTTGCATATTATATTGTTATGCATTATATTATGACTCTTTATATTGACACATGTATTATCACGCATAATGCTGTGCAGTGCTATTTTTTTATTACCACGTGTTCTATCGTGCACAGTAATCTGTAGAGACTTTCGCAATATTAAAAAAAAAGCTTTTTAATTAATTCAATTTATTACCAACTCCAAGAATTTCCCGCTCTTGTAACTTCATCCGCGACAATAGGACGAAAATCGCTTACACTCGAATACATGTTTTTGACTCAAAATTTTGGAACCTTGCTCCATAAATGTTCGCGCCAGCCCTGGTAGAAAGTAGTTATCTCTTGCAAGCATTTACAAAAACTCAATTATTTTCTATTTCCAATTTTCTATCAGAATCAAGTTGTATTAAATGTCTAAACAACGCATTGCTAATAACATCGCAACTATGATTACATTTTATCCGTAATAATTACCACTCATTGTGTTTCTCAATTAGAATATGTATTTTGGAAATCGACATCTATCGAAATCGAACTGGTTTATATAACAAAACGATAAATATTTTCTTGTTCGAAATCCTATCGAATGTTTCCTGTCTAATACAAGAGTCCTAAAGCGGTAACCAAATCATCCCGTGGCTGTCGATCAAAATTTCTGATCACGGAAAAATAGCAAGTTTCCTTCTCGTTGTTTCCAGAATATTTGACATGTCCGGGAAGAAGCGTTCGGCGAGTAAGAAAGAGACGCGTTAACGGTGGATCGGTGGAGTAGCGAGGATCGTGATCGTTTGATCGTCGCTGGAAGTCAATGTCGAGATACACGGTCGCAGGTAGTCGCCCTCTACTACGCTCTCACGTAAAGATTGGTTCGTGCGTGTGTGGAGGCTCGTAGTAGTCGCGACGCTGCCGAGAGCAGCGGTTGAAGTGCCTGCACGTCGCTCTTCGTGATATCTTCGTGTCCAGTGTCCTCGTGTATTTTTTTCTGCACAAATTGCTTCGCATTCGATTGGTGAAAGTGTTCGTAAAAGGATTAATAATCGACCACGGTGTGCTGGGTGTGACTCACGATGTGACAAAATTGGGCGACCTTGGCGGGACGGTGAGTGACCCTTTGGAATAGCGTATTCATTTTTCTACCCATACCTGGTGCACACGCAGCCGGCGTTTCTCACGGGAAAAATGCCTTATTAATTAGAACGACAACGCGGCGTGTAACGAACCTCGGCTGCACACAATTACCTTTGCCTCCAACTCCTTCCTAGATGCGTGTATGAACTCTTCTTCTGATATTAACCTTTTACAGAACTCGAGGGAAACCCCGTTCGTAGCGAGAATGCGATTCTCGTTGTTTTTCTCGTTTTCAGCGTGAGTTCCTGGAAGGGGACTAGAAAAGGTGCGCGAAAAAATTCTTGACATTTACGCACACCGTTCGAACTTCCTTTTGTCTTACTTACATACGTGTATTTATATATGGGGTGTCAAAAAGTTATGCGATCAAACTTTTTTCGCATGTTGTAATCTAAGTAGAAATACACATAAAAAAGGTATAACTTTATATGGAATCTAAAGATTAGATACATTGTAATGTACGATAATGTTTGTCGCATTTATTTCTTACAAGCATGTTTAGTATTTGTAATAATGTACATTGCCGCAACCACTTTCAGCTGCAGCAGCGTGTGTATTGCATATTATTCTTTTTAATCTTCACCGATATTTTTGGAGCGGAGAATACTTCAAAATGGAATAATAAATTAATTTACTTGTGTCGATAAAGCACTTGTGTAGCGTCATGTACGTAACATTTCTTCCTGTTTCTACTTATAGAGTACACCAGCGAAGTTTTAAGTTCGCGACACCCTGTATAGGCGCGTTTGATCGATTATGACGACGACACGTTGGGCGTCTGTTTGTCTCGTGTATGCAGCGAAGTGTGCACGAAGTATCAAACGGCTATCGAATAGTCAGGTGTAACGCGAATCAGGCAGGATAAGAAGCCGAGAAATGCTACTTAGAAAAATTTAGATACGACGAGACGAGGGTTAGCCGTAGTTGGTTCCCCTCGAGTCGGCGAATCAATATTTGGAGGGTAAGCGTCCCGACGGCCGGCGTCGAAGCCTGCGGAACGTGAGTCACTCACCCCTGATCACGAGGGAGAAGGAGAGAAGGATGACTTTTCTCTTCTTTCACCCTCTCTTCTTCTCGACTCGATTCAATTCGACTCGCTGCCGCGCCACGTCGTTCTGCTGAAACACCGCGACACTAACAACGAGAACTTTTCAAGTGTCTACCTCAGATTGTATAACGAGTCTGCACGTTCATCGATCCTTCCATCGCTAGCCATTTTTTATGTACGCTTCTAGTCAAAATTGTAAGCTCAGTTCGTTTATCGCTGGCTTACTATTATGGCCATTATTACTTTTTCCTTTTGCAGCGTCACGTGAGAATGCAAGAAAAACAATGCAATGCGCCGAGATTCCGCAATTTTTTTATATGCAGTAAATTATTGTACTTTTTGTGGAAAATTCTATTTGTAGGTTAAGTTAGGAATCTTCATAAGTTTCAGGATCCTAAGAGAGTTTTTAAAAATCGAAGGCAACTGCTAGGAGACTTCTTGCCTATATTTATTTCTTGTCTAAAGGAAGTTTATGTTTCCCTCACGTATACAATATTGGTACGGAAATTACAAAGAATTTTTTCTCTTCTAAATATTTGTGATGCCATTCACCGGCGTCTTCCAATAGCAGTGAGCCTGTTGAATATTCATGGCTGGGAGAGTAAAAGTTAGTTCGAAAGAGAAGATTGAGAACGTGCCTTTAGGAACTGGTGGCGAAATTGAGAGATAAACGGAGGCATCGAAATCGTCGTCCGGCGACGACCTTTGCCTAACGTTTAATTAAGATACTTACGAATTTTCGGTATCCCCGCACACAGTCGTAAGAACGGAACGTTAATTTACGACCTTTAAAGACAACCGTGCACGCACACGAGCGTGAAACGTATGCACCTAACTAAAACCCGTTTGAGGGAGCCACGGTGGGAACAGGTTCCATAAAATTGAGCGTTCTTCCGTAGGACTTTTATCTGCGGCCAGCATCTTCTTCGTAGTACAGTTGTACTCGTATGCGAAATGTGCTTGATCTCCTTTTTTGGTTTTTTAACGTCCGAACAAAAATCGCGTGATGGCGTCTCGTTCTTTCGAAATAGCAAATGGGCTTGAAGAGTCGATATCGTAAATTTCACGTCGTACGATATCCTCGATCGTATTGCTTCTTTATTAACGCGTTTGCATAATTTTATTAGAATAGACGAAATTCGAGCATCTCGTTCGCTGTAGTAACACTTTACACGATTTCAATATTCTTTCAAACGTAACACGATCTAGGAATGATACAGCTATAAATTTCCATTTTATTGATCAAGCTTCGCTAAATCAAGAATCGCTAACTCGCTAACTAATGTACAATTTCAAATTTTTTAAAACCGCTAAGTCTTCAAACAATAGAAGTTACTACGTTCCAAATCATATTGACATACATATTAAAATAATGGATACATGCATTGCTATACATAGAAAAGAATGTAGCAGATACGAAGCATATTTGTAAACGTTGCTATATTTATAATCAAGTGAAAGGTGCAAGAAAACGAGAAAATGCATGCCATGTGATTGAAACAAACGATGAAATAAGCATATTTCGCGAGACGCAGTGAAAATTGTCATTTGTTTTGTAATAAATTGAAAGATGCAAAGCTAGCATGACTGGAAGATTGAAATCTTCTACCGTGATTGAAATCTCCGTCTATGATTGCAATACCAGTCTCTTTTGCAGCGATTCGTCTTGATCGATTACACTCGATGGGGTTCCTCAGATCAGACTCTTAAAGCGTGGATCCCAAGTTTATTTCCGGTGGGTCACGTTTTAGCATTATCACGTTTCCAGATTTTGGGACTTTAGGAATCTCGAAGTAATTCATTTGAAGCATAAAAATATCCGTTTCCGCATGCGGTTGTCGACTCGTAAAAGTTTAGGGTCTCTGCCTTATAGCGGAGCGTGGGACACAACTTCTGCGCGCGTGCAAAAATAACCGGCATAAAATATCGAGTGTTCTTTACAGAAATGAATGGAAATAACTTCTTTCTTGAAAGCACATTTTTACGTAATAGTATTTCAACATGGGAATTATATTTTCTCTATCAGAGCACCGCAAACGTATTATTGCTAAGCTTAAGGTTGAAGGAAACGTTTTCGAACGTGATTAGAGTGCACACGGTGCTATCGAAGGATAATTATTAGAGTTCGAAGAAGCGGTACGTACTAGAAGGTATGTTCGCGAAATCAATGAGTGCGGCTCGTCTACGCCTCTTCTTTTTCCGATTTTACCGCTCACCGTTACGCGAACATGGTTTCACGTGCCACGTAACGGTTGTTATTGTAACTGCCTTAGACTGGTCAGATTTTGCATTCGATTTTCATCGGATCCTACGGAAACTCGCCATTATTCGATCTACAATATTCACTCACGTGTGTTAAATTTCACTAATAACAGCTGCAGATTTTAAGATTTATTCTTAGTCTATTTACAAGGATCGGAAATAGGTCCTTTCCAAGGCATTATTATGGTTTCAAGTAATACTAACTTAACTTCCGTCTCAATATACAGGATGTAACAAGACACGCGATATAGCAGTCCAGTGAATAATCGCTTTGTTTAATATCTAAAAGCGATACACAAAAGCGAAAGATTTACTTACCGTTAAACTGTAATAAACAGAACGATAAAAGTGTATTTCAGAACTAATAAAATTTGGTATGCTTTAAAATGGATACTAAACCTTCTTTGAATATCTATCGATTTCCTATATTAGTCAAACATTCTTTATAAGAAAGAGATTTCTTTCGACTTAATTCGCTTAAGACTAGTAATTACATGTTATTCAGCGTGGAAAAACGTACATGGTGTTCGATGTTATCCCCTCTTCTGTTAAGAATGGTCCACCGGTATCGTGCATCGATACCACAATTTTTTGCCATCGTCATAAAGTAACCAGCTGAAATTTTACCACCTTGTACAGGTAACCATTCAGCCTTTGACGCGTGAAAAAACCCGTAACGCGTGTAATTCGCTTAAAATACTCTAGCGAAAAAACTGTAAATTGTATCAGGTGGAAAGGTTCTGTTCGTTACGAGAGCAGGATCGAAGAATTTGATGTTCGTCGAGGTCGACTGGTTACCGATATAACAGGGCGTTTTCGATTCATCGAAAGACTTCGACTAGTTTGGTCCAAGAAGCTTCTTGAAAAGGTGCCCGAGGGAGACTGGACCTCGGATAATTGGTAGGTTCGAATTCCGGTCTTCGAGTGGAACCTCTTTCTCGAAATTAATAGTTGTTTCGTTGAAAGCCGTATGAAAAAAAACAAGTATGTGCCTTTTTAATCTGTTGCGACGGTGTTTTCTTTCTCTAGCATACTGGAAAATGGGCAGTTTCGTGCTACGAGGAGCACCATGGGCAATTAATTTCACGTGGAGAAGGTAGTCGCGTTCGAGGATAGGAATCTTCCAGCGAAAAGATTTTATCTCTGTCGAGCATTTTCCGCTGTACGGTTAACCGGAATTTAAGAGTCGGCTACGTGTGAACGAAAACGAGCGTAACATACATGGTGTTAAAGAAACAAGGTTCAAAGTTTATGGGGTAGATAGCATGAAATGGCGATGTAGGAGAAAGTGACCGGGTTACTTACCTTCGGTTCTGATGTGCGTGTAAGGAAAGGGTGAAATTTTTACGAGAACAAACGGAATTATCCCGTTTAATCCGCGAGATTCCCACATAAGATCCATTCTAATAAACAGATTAAGTCGCAGTTGTTTAGAACCTTTTACAGTAAACCAATTGAACATTCGATGATGTGGACTGCAACCAAAGAAGGAAAAGATTTATTTATCGAAGTGCAGCATCGCAATCAACATGTATCAACTTGAGACGTTTTTTGTCGACCGAACTAGTACCGTCTATCAAATGAGAACCGAACATTTCCTTTTTAACACCTTGTATGAAGAAACGCACACTATCCACGGAATGCCACTGCAGTACGCGTTATACCAAACTGGTCGCACCCAACGATCATGTTCTGTTTAATGATCCTCGGTTCAAAAGCAAACGTTTAGCCGAGATGAGAAGTAACGGTGATTGAGGTACAGTGTTAGGCGATGCCAATAAGCTAGAATTAGCAGTGCCGATTGACGCAAATTCCAAATTTCAATTTATCAGACTTATGCAGACTCGGAATCTTTATATTGTACGAAACTCTTCGTTCTATATCTGCTTCTGCGAAGTTACGAATGAGCGATGCCACAGGATGGCAATTTGATCCTTCCAGGTTTAGCGTAGCTAAGAATCCTTTTATTCTGCCTTGCTATACGAGTATGTATTGATTTTTTGGTAGACACGTGTCTGTCGAAGGGTCAGCTTATGGTCGTGGTCGTTGAAGTACCGAGACTAGGTTCATACGGTCCAAGGTGGTAAAGATCCAATTTGAAATTTGGAAAGTTTCTAAAGTTACAACGTTAAAAACGTTGCTTAGTGATCTTAGAGAAATTCGCGTAATGTTCTACAGAAAAGCAAATATTGTTTCGTGATCGACGAGCTATACAGTTTTCCTGGGTAGGTAAACGTTTATCCGCAAGTGGTTAAACCTCCTTCCTCTACCCAGCTATTGTCCCTAGGGAAACCTAACGCGCTTGCCGGTACATATACCGGAGTAATATTCATGGTGGGGTGCGTGCGTCCTTGGGAGTCCCTGAGCACTCAATGCATAGATAAGTCGAACCGACAATGAGTCGCGTGGCCTGGCTCCAGCATTGTGCGCTGGAGACGCGCGGTTAACCCAGGAATATTAATATACGTGAAATTTTAAGCGGAAACTTCCCTAACGGTTTTCCTTTCATTTTGTCTTTGGACATCGATAAAGATCTTACTCGCATTTATCATTTTTCACAATTTTAACAGTAAAGTATGCTGTTTTAGTATACTAGAGTTAAGTTAACTCTTTACCACTGTAGAATTGTAACTTTCACGGTTTATCTCCATCGAATCTGGAGGTTCCAATCAAGCATGCATGCGGAGTTGTCTGTACGAGCTACCCATGCACCCATATAGGGATGAGACTGTAAAGCCTAAATTACATTGGTAGCGTATGTTGACGCTGGTACGTTGGCATGGTACAAGGTTAGCGGTCGAGTTACTTCGTCACAGCGGTGGTTGTAAGTAACTTTACTCCACCAGTGATTAGTTTTAGCGCTTTATCAACTACTTGCAACTAGCTACGTAACCTAGGCTTAAAGATAGGGATGATGGGGATCAAATGTAGCAATGACTTTTATGATTCTGTGCCCGCTATAGCAATTTATCCTTGTATATGTAGTACTCGTAAGCTACCTTGGGTACCCGAGCCCTTCTTATTACCTGCTGTGCGTGTCTGTTATAGTCCTCAGCTAAGGTTTATAGTCGTTTCATCCTACTTGTCTACGTTAACACGCATCGAGTATAAAAGATTATGGGAAACAGAATATCTGCTGCTGGACCATCGGTAAGATTGCTTGGCAGATAATTTTGTGCACGGAAACAGCGTTATTTCAGAATCATTATTCGAATGAATGGTTCGATGAGAATTTGCAGAGAAAGTTGGTATAGCATATGGTTCCTTCGATGACGAATAGATGAACTGACGAATAGAGCAGCTTAGATCAGCGATGCTCATCAGAAGTGCATCCTCACTTTCGCCGCTCCTCTTATTATCAGGACTGATGACCACAATTTTATTATACATCGTAGCTATCCGTGAATAGGGATCCAGGCACCTGCCGCACTATTTCACCGTTATTTCGTCGTTGCCTACAGGTGTAGCTAGCTGGGCTTCTCGTTCTAACTTAGAATTGGTTGGTTTCGGTTGGAAAAAGGCTGATCCGTAGCAGCGTTAGGGAGGAACAGGGAGTCCCAAAGTCTCGGAGCAGTACTCTGGACTCGAAGCAAAGGTCAGCCGTCGCGAGAAGCAACGAAGAAGGGGCCCTGTGCCTGTAAGCATCGCGTCCCTGGCCATCTCATCCCGCTCGTTCTTGCTCGCTCAATGCATAGATAAGTCGAACCGACAATGAGTCGCGTGGCCTGGCTCCAGCATTGTGCGCTGGAGACGCGCGGTTAACCCAGGAATATTAATATACGTGAAATTTTAAGCGGAAACTTCCCTAACGGTTTTCCTTTCATTTTGTCTTTGGACATCGATAAAGATCTTACTCGCATTTATCATTTTTCACAATTTTAACAGTAAAGTATGCTGTTTTAGTATACTAGAGTTAAGTTAACTCTTTACCACTGTAGAATTGTAACTTTCACGGTTTATCTCCATCGAATCTGGAGGTTCCAATCAAGCATGCATGCGGAGTTGTCTGTACGAGCTACCCATGCACCCATATAGGGATGAGACTGTAAAGCCTAAATTACATTGGTAGCGTATGTTGACGCTGGTACGTTGGCATGGTACAAGGTTAGCGGTCGAGTTACTTCGTCACAGCGGTGGTTGTAAGTAACTTTACTCCACCAGTGATTAGTTTTAGCGCTTTATCAACTACTTGCAACTAGCTACGTAACCTAGGCTTAAAGATAGGGATGATGGGGATCAAATGTAGCAATGACTTTTATGATTCTGTGCCCGCTATAGCAATTTATCCTTGTATATGTAGTACTCGTAAGCTACCTTGGGTACCCGAGCCCTTCTTATTACCTGCTGTGCGTGTCTGTTATAGTCCTCAGCTAAGGTTTATAGTCGTTTCATCCTACTTGTCTACGTTAACACGCATCGAGTATAAAAGATTATGGGAAACAGAATATCTGCTGCTGGACCATCGGTAAGATTGCTTGGCAGATAATTTTGTGCACGGAAACAGCGTTATTTCAGAATCATTATTCGAATGAATGGTTCGATGAGAATTTGCAGAGAAAGTTGGTATAGCATATGGTTCCTTCGATGACGAATAGATGAACTGACGAATAGAGCAGCTTAGATCAGCGATGCTCATCAGAAGTGCATCCTCACTTTCGCCGCTCCTCTTATTATCAGGACTGATGACCACAATTTTATTATACATCGTAGCTATCCGTGAATAGGGATCCAGGCACCTGCCGCACTATTTCACCGTTATTTCGTCGTTGCCTACAGGTGTAGCTAGCTGGGCTTCTCGTTCTAACTTAGAATTGGTTGGTTTCGGTTGGAAAAAGGCTGATCCGTAGCAGCGTTAGGGAGGAACAGGGAGTCCCAAAGTCTCGGAGCAGTACTCTGGACTCGAAGCAAAGGTCAGCCGTCGCGAGAAGCAACGAAGAAGGGGCCCTGTGCCTGTAAGCATCGCGTCCCTGGCCATCTCATCCCGCTCGTTCTTGCTCGTTTTATTTTTCCAGTGGGTCGTTTTGTTCCGAAGTCGAACCGGCCGGTTCGCGCTGGTCTACCTGCCGGTTGCTCTGCCGGTTGTGCAAGCTGTGGTTCGATTGGTTCGTGCCGATGCGCCGTCCATTCGGATTGGTGAAACCGGATCGGTTAGCCTCCGGGGAAGGAGGCTCGCTAGCGCCGATGCGATGCCACGGCACCGAACACCTATCGTGCTCTTGCTACGGTCAACTAGCCCTCGAGATCCCGGGGATCGACGCGACGGGCCGATTTTAACCGAACAAAACAAGTTGCTCGAAGAAAATGCTCATTGCGGATGCCTTGTCTTTTGCTCCACGTACATATTACGTTGCTCCTTTTTAACGTCGGTCGAGGCCCTTATTGCACGACGGCCTCCACGAGTTCGCGCTTTTTGCTTACGGTTATTGTAACGCACCTTCTGCAATAACTTTAAATCCACCTATTGAAACGTGAACGCTGTTCCATTACTTTATTATTTCAACATTCTATTTCGTTCGAAGCTGCTTCGGTACTGGACGGGTAATAGTGGTGCGTCATCTATTTTTATCGCAGTATAGGGCGCTCAATGTGTGTCATCGACATTACGACCTAATCGTTAAAATGATTTTCAACAATATGTCTCTATATATTTATTTATATAATATTTTGGTAATTATATACAAAGAAATATGTTGTTAATGTTTTGCATATTCCTCGTTTCAGTTCCCAAAATTAACTATTAAAAATGTAATTAACGATTGTACAGAATTATTTATCACACTTAGAGTTCGCACGAATACTTTGTCGGAACTTTTTCCTCGGTCTTCATGACCGACATACTTTTGTAAGTAGTCCACAGTCTTTCTCATTACCTTAACAATGAGCAGTCGAAAGGAACCATCGTCTTGACTTTTATCTCCTTCCATATCATAACCTACGTGTAAAACGCTACCAATCAAAGCGAAACACCAATCTCGTCTGCACAATAATAAACTCCAATAGAAATGAGGAGGTGTATCATAGTTTAGAAGAAATCTAGAACAACCGTATCAGATCATATCCAGTTTTTCCGGAGCAAATATTGTTCGTCGAGTATTCTATTATAACCGCTAGTACAAAGTTGACCTGGAATTTTGCAAATTGTTAAAAAGAAAATGCGTACTATCGGGTACGAATTTTGTTAAAACCGAGGATTAGAAGAAATAAAGTGTTTGAATCATGCTTCCTCGATGTTTTCGTATTTCGATATGGTCCTTTGTCGTTTCCGGTTCAGGATTTCTAAACTTGAAAATTTGATGCTGGTTGCACTGTTGGATTTGAACATGATACAAGGTCAACGAATTCACCATACAAGGGAACGAACGATAAAACAAAGAGGGTGAAACGAGCGGAAATCATTGTTCCCACGTTTTGTAGTCGGTATCGTATTCTCACACTCGCGTAAGATGCTCGATGTAACAACGACTGAAATAAATCTCCGTCTTTTGTAACGCTCGATATTGCGCGGGAGTAAATTTCCTCTTGTATGTATATTTCGTTTTCTTTCTATTTCGAATACGATACATATATTTATGAAAAATTCGTTACTTTTGTAAAATACGGTTTTTAAATACGAGAAATGGCATTTCTCGTGGTAGATGGAGCGCAAGATGGCCGCTAGGTAAACGTGGCGAAGAGGGAACAACTCGGCGAAGATGGGACTCTCGTCCGCGAGGACAGAACACGAGAAGGAGCGCGTGCTGTAAGAGGGTGGCTGCCATGGCGACGTGGAAATGGATCCTCCTGTTGCTCGCGGCCTTCTCTACCCTAACCGACGCCTACCTGACCGTCCTGTCCTCCAGCACACCCACCGGAAGCGTGGTGTTCGAGGCAGGTGTACCGCAGTTAGGCGGTCGTCGGAAATACGAGGTCTCTTGCGAACGAACAGCTTGGTTCGCGAGAAAATTGCTCAAAGTACATCCTCATACTGGTCGCGTCACATTGGCACGACCGCTGAGCTGCGATGGCCTTCAGTATCCACGGATTTTCACCTTCTACGTCGACTCTACCAGCTCCAGACTGGGCAGACCGACGATAGATTACTACAGTCTACCGTTGAGGATACTGATAACCGGGTGTGGCGGCGAAAATCGTGATCTAGCC